TCATCAGCTGCAATTCGGTACACATCAGTCTGATCAGTATATCGAAGAACGGCTGTAATTTGTTTTTAGAGCGGCGCGCTATTTTCCCAGTCGGGTCCGTAGATTGCAATGATTGGGTCCGATAGCAGACGCACGGACACATTTTGATGCATTTATATGCAGACAATTTTTGAAAGCGATGCAAACTCGTCCATTTTACCCACTGATTGTTATTGTTCTTCTTTCTAGAAAGTGTAGGGTTTCTTGACGAGTGTGTGTACACCTACAGATGTGTTTATGTTTTTTTATTACGCAACGTTTATTATGTTGTATACCTGCCTCGGCATGCACTGGTGGAACCCAAAAGTTGTTTCTACATATATACAAAACTTCGCCAAAACTTCATCTTTTTGCCCAGAACCTATCATCGAAAAACACAAACACACACACACACACACACACAAACACGCACACACAATAAAACGGAGTACCAAGTAAAAGAAGACAACAAGAATGGGGGAAGGGGAAAGGGGGGGGGGTACATTTTCTCATGGACAGTTTCATTCGGCCGTAAACCGTAAGGAGAAAGCAAGTTTAAATTTGTTTTTTCTCCTCTTTTTGTTTGTCAAACTTGCCTCATACTTCCGAGCACTCAAAAGAACGCTGCGAACTCCTTCGCACACTCCATTGCGACTTCACCGGATCTCTTCGACCGACCTCCGATATTTTTTTCTTCTTATTTTTTTTTCGGCTGGGTTACTACGATTGCATTTTTAACACTTTCTGTAACTCCTTTTCGACGCTTTCCATCACTTCGGACACATCCGTCGCGCTTTCCAGCGAAAGCGCCTATCAGTTCGTCAAATGTGCATTCCTCCCTCCGAAGCTGCGGAGAAAGGTTTCACCACCGCAATCGGAAGAGTGCCAACGCCAGTGCAGTCAGAAAAGAGAAAAGGCACTCCGAACGAAGATTGACTTTCTGGAAATTCGGATCGATATTGCACGGGAGAGAATACGCCGACGGGCGGGGGAAAAAGTGTGGATGGGAAAGGGGATATTGGGGAAGAGGACTCGTGGAGAGGAAAGGGGAAAGAAAAAAGAAAAGCGGCAGTTTGACTTTCTCTCTACTCTGTGCCTTTGACCTTCCGCAACTTCCATCGCTCCCCTTTCATCGGTTCCCCCTTTTACCTCCTCACGCTCTCTCCACCTCTGCCGGGACTCTCGCTGGAACCTCATTTCCGGTTCCGTTTCTTGCGCCATATGTCCGCCATCTTGTCATTTGGCTGTTGTGACGTAATAGGCCCGAAGTGTATTTAGCCAGCTCGGATCTGCGTGACGCCCTGACTCGATGCTTCACGGCCCGCTAGAGCGAGATTTTTTTGTATATATTTTTTTATAACCTTGTTATTTGATTTTTTTTTTTGTAGTTCTTTGTCTTTATCTGTCATCGATTTTCTCTGTAAAGGCGGCATACACATGCGGACGTGCGCGCGCGCCTGTTTTGTACGGAAAGAGAATGTGTCGAGCAAAGCAGCGCGTCTGATTTCCTTTTCTGTGCCGACTTGAGAAGGCCGAAATATCGATTTTGTGCGCGCGTTTCGCGTTCTTATTACGTAGCGTCAGGGTTGCCAGTCTAGTGGGTTTCCTGCTAGATATGACGACGGGTTTCAGCGTTGCCACGCTGGAAAAATTGCTGTTTCTGTCGGTGGCGGAATTTTCTTGTCGTTCTTTTCGAGTCATGTTAGCGTTCTTTCTGGAGGTATAGCATGTTCTATAGTTTTCATATTTTAATCCTAGATAGTTTTTTGTTAGGTTAGAGTCATCAGATTGTCATCTTTGCCTACCCTCGGCCCTGAAAGCATGAGAACTCAGAAAAGGAAGAGGGCCATAGGTACTAAACATCACTTTGAAAAACCAAGCGTGTTGGTAAAGTTACGACCCCCCCCCCCCCCCCCCCCCCCCTCCTTCCCAAATGCGTGGACAAAATATCTGTTGACGCCTTTGGGGGCCGGTTCCGTTTCATTCTTGTTCATTGCTAGTTGAAAGACGTCGCGTTCTGTGCTCCGGTATTTATTCATTCTTTCGCGTGTAAACACCGAGACTGGTCATTGGAAGTTCAAAGTTCCAAGCAACGTCATGAGAGCCAGATACCACTGCTGTGAAGCAGAACTTACAGCAAACATATCAATTTGGTCGCTGAAGGCATACTTGCCCTGCTTCTGAAAATTAGCGGTTTTTCGGGATTCCTCTGTCGGGCTTTTGATTTCAAGTTGGCAACACGTGTAGCCAGGGTACCAAGCCTCATTTGTGCGTCCTTTTATGTGTTATGTATGCATCTAATTACCTAAACAAAAGGTTTATAAACGCTGCCCAGTGTGTCTTAACTAACAAAATGTTCAAACTTTGGGCTATCTTCTAAGCATGCTTTGAATAAGCTTTTTCTTTGGCCAATAAGTTTTCCAAATCTTTTATAACTGCCAAACATCCATTTACGCCAACTTTAAAAAAAAAAAAAAAAAAAAAACATTGTGAGTACTTTGATAACACTGGCTGCATTAGCCCTTTGCGTTATTACACTGGCGAAGACCACTATTACCATCACTATTTTGATTTTTTAGGCTAGGTGTCGCCAACTACCGCCCGTTAAAATGGGTATAGAGCCGATGGCGTCCATCCATCCATCAATCCAAATTTTTTGCGTATTTTTTTTCTTTTTGGAAAAAGGGGGGGGGGGGGGGGTATAAGGGCTGCAGGGGGCTTGGATGACTCCATGACCGCGTTGTCACAGGAACGCAATCAACCCACTGAGGCGCTCCAATTATTTACTCAGAATGTGTCCGATTATTCCTTACGAATGACGGGAGACTAAAGAAAATGGCTTCGCTTTCAACCCGCGTGTCTGTCATTCACATGACTAGAGACACGCATCTCGTGTACGCAAATCCATTAAAAAGAAAAGAATAATGATGTGCACACGGGACAATTATCACGAAGTTTCACTCGCCATGACGTTTCACCTGCGCACGTTGCATTTTTCAGCTCTAATCGTTTGATAAGTTTCGTCACACGCTGGAGTCCTTGTATCCTACGCCGTGATTCGTCGTCTCTTTCGCGACAAGAACTCACTTTCTTAGACTACAGTCACTACACTCTAAAAAAGCCCACGCGTCTGCTTTCCCGCATAACACTTGGAGAGCCAATCACCGCAACTTACGGAGGCACCTCAGCGAATGACGATGCCGAAACATATGTTTAGACCAAAAAATGCAGTCTGAGCAATGCAAGCGTGACGTTTTGCATTGCTTAATGTCACAACTTAGAGTGCGTTTTTTTGGTCTAAACATATGTTTCGGCATTTTCATTCGCTGAGCTGCCTCCGTAAGTTGCACTGATTGGTTCTCCAAGTGTTGTGCGGAAAGCAGACGCACGGGCGTTTATTGGAGTGTATATTGATTATCCCCGACAGCTGCGCTCGAAGAAATCTAAAGCGTCCACTTCCCCCTAAGGCACTTGGCAGAGCTAATCGCTGCAATCTACAGAGGAAGCTTGGCCAATCACGAAACTAGAAATATGTTGACATAAAAAAAAAAGAAAAAAAAGTCAGCTCTGTGGCATTGAGCCCGAAGTAAGCAACGTGAAACGTGATATCCTCGATGCCAAAGCGCATGCCGTTTTCTTCTTTTTATACGTAGGTTTAAACATATTGTTAGCCTCGTGATTGGCAGATTGCAGCGATTGGCTCTTCGCAAGTGCTTTGCGGCGAAGTAGGCGTACCATATTCACGCATCTTGCTTCGTTCTTCGGCGTTCTTATTGGCGAAGGCCGCACTCCAATCAGGGGCGGATGCAGGAATTTCCAGAGAGAGAGAGAGGGGGGGGGGGGGGGGGGGGTCAGGTGTTGGTCAGAGTACCATATGTTTAGGAACCCCCTCCCCTCCCCCGTTTCCACGCCCTAAATTTTTACACATGCAGAAATCAAGAGGGGAATCAGGACATCCGAACCCCCCCCCCCCCCCCCCCCCCCCCTCTTAATCCGCCTCTGAGTCCAACAGACCCTTTTCAAAAACCCTCAAGCAACGTCGGCGGTCACCATTTCTTGGACACGAAGGCCCTTGATTGGACCCGAGTTCACGCCGATCACTGACGCAGCCTTCGTGTCCAATACATGCCCAGAGTACGTGCCCGAGCAATGGCCGACTCGGATAATGGACGCTGCAGATACTATACGGCGAGCCTTTGAAAAGGGACCATTGGCTGCACTGCATCTTCAAACATCGATGACAGCTATGTCACCCAAATATATCTTAGGTTGCTAGGCGGCCAGTTATCCTGGACACTTCTCGACGGTGCAGCTTCGACAAAAAGCCGACACCATGATTACCGCCAGAGTTGATCACGCCACACCTCGCTGTCATAAGCAGCCTACGACATCCATTATCACCCGATAACAATGATGAAGAACCAATTAGACATGCCCCCTCCGCTCCATGTGCGGTCTGCTTCTCTTATCCAATTATGTAAATAATAATAAAAAAAAGCTTTTTAGGACGTCATTCGACGGACATCCAGGTCAACACCGTCGTCAGCCTTCTAAGATGACGCCACCATCGCTTCAGCGCAAAAACACAATTTTCGATATGGAGCAAAAAAAGAAAGCGCGCGCGTACACGGTACAGTGGCGCCATCGAGCGGACACTTTGGCAACCATCGACCGCATACGCGGGAGGCGACCAGCGCTCGCGAGTGCGTGTCTTTTTTTTTCCCCGTTAACAAGATTTCCTCGTAGCAATCGATTGGTACGGAAAGCAATTGCTTTTATCCGGGACAAACTCGTGCGACGATGTCCTACGCAGAGTGTAAGTGCCGCAGAAACGCGTTGTTTGACGCACGCGCTGTTTTGCGCCAGCATCGTCGTTGTGTACGGCAGTGCAAGTTGTGTCCGTGAATGGCGTTGCCTGCTTGAATGCTAGGCGTCTTCGGCGCAGCCTCTTGATACTCGTCCGCTTTGCTTTCTGCTTTCAGGAGCGCTATGAGAAGATGATGCATCAGATGCACGAAAGGCGTCGGGGTACACCAGATGAAAATAAAAATTTGCAACAGGTAAGCATTTGCTCTCCTAACTGCTTCGGCCTCCAGCGGTGCCGCGCGTGGATGCACGTGGTTTGAAGTGCGGCTTTTTTCTCCTGCCTTGTTGCGTGCATGCGCATTAAAACGCTGCATGACCGCAGAGATCTACTAAACCGTAATCCGAGCATGCGAAGCTTCGGTCGACGCGTCATATTCCTAGAACAAAGTGCGCGAGATCGCGAGTGCCGTGGCGCTGTGTGTGACGTAAGGAGAGTTGACGTGCCCCCTCACCAACAATGCACGGGTCGCTAGAAATAGAAACGGTGAACAAATGATGGCAGCTTGCTCGCACGCTCGTCGTAACGAGCCAGAGTTGCCATAAGCGCGTCGCGGGGGAGCATTTGGGTCACGCCAGATCGCGGACTCGGGTTTTTATCGGACCCGCGCGCACACCATCCGCACGCACGCACACATGTACGACGGCGGAGCCGCGCTCCGCGCATATCATTGGCCGAAGTGCGCGCGGTCCGCGAGTTCAGGAGGAGAACGGAAAAAGGCTCGATTCGAAACGCCCCCCCTTTCCCTATCGCTGCGGTTGTCAAGGCGACGGGCGCTTTTCCGATTGTTCTCGCCCCCCCTCCCTTCCCTCCCCTCCATGTTACAACGGCCACCATTTTCAATATTTTCGATCGACGCGGTCGTCGATGGCGTCTTGCTCGTGCCATCGTCGTCGCTGAAGTCAACAAGGAGCGAGTGCCTTTTAAAGACGCGAGTGGAGGAGCGCGCTGCTGGAACCGCCGACCGAAAGCCCGATGTTCTCCGGACGCGAACGGGTCTGCCGTGGCACGTGAAGCGTGCTTTTCTTCCTCCCTCCACCCTTCGCGAGGCCTCTCCGCGCGGGGTCTTTTCGTCGGCCTTCCCGAACCGCTCTCATGGAGGATCGGCAGCCGTCCGTCGCGCGCGCCGACGAGCAGCGCTCGGGACACGCGTCGTTGTGATCGCGGCGGTGCGTCGGCAATGTCGGTGAACGCGCGGCGGGAAGACCCCGCGACCACGAGAAGCAAGACGACGACGAGACCGATCTGAGAGCTGCGTGCCCGGGCGCTCCCGCCCTCGTCCAACCTGCTGCTGCAGGTAGCGAGCGCCATTTGCGGAAGCGGGGTCGCCGGAAAAGACGGCATGGCGGCCTCTCCGGGCAACCGAACTAATCTCAACGGGCGGGCGGTGAACGGCGGCGGCGCTTCGACATCGCCCTACCTCCCGCAGGGAGTGCCGGAACACCTCGGACATCCTGGGGTGAGTTTGTACCTGCCACCGGAGGGGCTGGGTGTGTGTACGTGCGGGGCCTTGCGGTCTTTCGTAGCGCCCGCGCTGCTGCGCGGGGCCTGCACAACATATGGGAGGGGCTGCCGCCGGCGCTCGTCGGCCTTGCCCCTACGACTCGCCCCGCTTTTAATTTTTATCCTCGTTTATTCCCGCACCCCCCTGTGTCCATTGGGTGGTTCAAATCGCTACCGTGTTACCCGACACACGGTCGCTACAGGTAGGTAGGGACGGGGATCGAGGGCAGCGACCGCCGTTTTGTTTGGGTTCGCCCGCGAACGGTGGTGACCTTGTTTGTTTACAATATGGCATGCGATGCTGTTCGCTAACCCGGGGACTGCTGCACATTAACAGCCGCCAACCTAACTTAGAACTAACTCGTTTAGTGGCGCAAACGAATCTGTTGCTCGCTGGCTGTGATTGGGTATTGCTTGTCGTTTGTTTATCTGTTTTTGTTCCAAGGACGGTGTATGGGTATCCAAGCCGGTTGGTCGGCTCGTGTGTAAACATGAAACAGCGCGCTATGCGTCACTGCATATCGGGATCTCCACAGAAAAAAAAAGCTCTAGCGCAGCTACCTGCCCCCAGATTCCGGGGTTCTATTCATTTCGGGCTTTCGAAAAATGCACCTCGAGGGAAGATCGTGAGCATCTCAAGAGCCGTCTTTAAAAAAGCCAGCTGAAATGTAGTTTGCTGGGAATTCACCGCTGAAAAATAAATGGAAAACTGCAGATTGGGCACAAAAGCCTGGCTGTTGTACTTTTCGTCTTTTGTATCACTAGGCGAGGGGAGGACTCTCTTCTGTGGGAGCCAGGTAGGCACATGAATAGATCTCCTTTTCTTGTATTACAGGAAGTGTGGGACATTAAAAAGTGAACAAACACAAACAGCTTCTTTTCTTCTTCAGATTGGGGAAGATGGCAATGTTACGTTCTTAGCACCCTCCTTTTCTTTAGCAGGTTACACTTGTAACTTCAAAAGAAAATAATTCCCTGCCTGTAAGGTAGATCTGAAATTGGGTTGGGTGTTTTTTTTTTTCTCACAATCTTTTGTGATCTGCTGAGCTTGGCTAGTGCTCAATGCCTTTAAGCAAAAAAAGCGGACCAACAGTTTTTTTGGTGGCATTTTTACAATCTTTGGTGTTTCATTTCAGTATTTTTGTATGCTAGTTGAAGAATGGATGAGAGCAGACATTTTTACCCTCAATGTTTTCTTGATCACTTTTTTTTATTTATTAATCCGAGTGATTCCTCACACTGTTAAAGATGTGCCACAAAGATACACATTGTCACTTCTGCCTCAAAGAGAAACAAAGTTTGCAAAAATTTTGTGCATAACATAGTGTACATATCTTAAGGAGATAGGAGAAGCTTGGCAAGTTGTGCTTTTTTGAAAGGAATTTGGCAGTCACAAGGCTCTTGAGTGTCTCTAACTTTATCTCTGGAAGCTGTACAAAAGATAATGTCCACTTGGATGTTATGCTGCCATGTTCCCTGTCAATGGTGAACAATAGAAAAAAAGCAGAGAGATTTGGATTGAAGTAGCACTACAAAACTATAGATGAATTGATTGTTCATACATTAGATAATGTCTGAAGGACTTGGTGGAACTGGGAAGCTATCAGTACTGCTCCTGGTGCACAATCATTTACTGTACTCTAACCGGCTGGCCAAGTATGTTGTAGTAAGAGTCAAAATGCAGGCGAGCTGGGGAACAATCATAATTAAGAATTGAAAAGCTTGAGACAAGGAAACAAAAGGGACATACACACCACTGTCTCAAAACCAGCACAGCATATAGCTGTCATATACTTCCACAAGTCTTCTTCTTTGTCAACCTCTATCCAAATTATACACATTCAACAGCAGGCACACTTGCGAAACTAAGAAAGCCTCGAGCACACAAACTGAGTCTTCTTCCTTGTCGTCTTCTCCCTTGTTGTCTTCTTTCTTGACGTATTCCATTGAATACATAATGGTAATGGTAATGGTAATCTTTATTGGCTCAGAAGAGCCCTGGCACCGCGGAAAGGCGACAGCCCGTACCATGGAGGCCCGCGGTGCCACGTCTAGTGATTATGATTATGATGTTATCCTGCCATTATACATAATATAATGGCAGGCACGCACAAACCAAATTGTGAGCATCAAACAGAGGTCCAAAGGGAGTTTTCAAATGTCAATTGCTCACTGGAAGAAAACATCCAGAAAAAAAACCCAAGCACAGCCTACTTGGGACTAAGCAGACAAAAACGCTTTTGTGTCGTCGTCCAAAGTCAAAGAGGGCATGCATATACAATTTCTTGCGCTCATAATTCGAATTGTTTTTTTAATCACTCTTTTAAACTAATCTTTTTTTTTTTTTTTTGCCAAGCACAGTTGTCTGCTTCCAATCTGGGTAAAAATTTCTACATTCACTCAGGTATTTTACAATTTCAGAACTGGCAGAAGAAGAATTAACCGCTCTCTTGTGCTCCAATATTCAGTCGTTCAGGCAGCGGCCAGTTAGACCCCCGTACGAGAACCCGCATCCGTATACTACTGCCATCTCACAAGTGGTTGCGGTATCTCTATGTTTTTTGTTTTTTCTTGTTGCAAAACCACCACAATCATCTTTCAAAGCGGCAGCACAGCTGTAGTAAAGCTAGGAAACTATTGCTTAAAAACCGTTGAGAAACTCGAAATGTGCTGATGTTATGTTTACAGAAAAAATAAAAGGGACATCAGTGATGCATTGAGTAAGCAGAAAGAATGAGGCTTTCTATCAAAAGTATTCTACATTGATTTGATGGGGTTAATAATAATTTCACTTTATCCTGATCACAGGATTCCGAAGGTTAGCGTCTATATTTCTATATAAGGATTATCAATAAAACTTTTTGTCCATCAAGTTAACAATTAATTTGGGGTTCAGGTGACGAGCGACTTGATAGAAAATAAGTTATTCTTAATATTATATGTGTCAGGTTTTTGTGTAACATCCTCCATGTCAAGGGGGAGGGGGGGTGAAGATCACATTGAAGCAAATCCATGTTTTCCTATATACACGTGCCACCGAAGTTACTCTTGGTGCGTTGAAATATTCTGGAAGCAGAAAAATTAAATATTTTTTTGTTTTTTTATTTATGAAACAAACCTGCATCCTGTAAATGCCAGAAGGGGGAACTTGTTTAATTTTAAAGGTGTTTGGTTTGCGTTAATCATCAGTATGATTTAATTTAAAAATTTGTCAGTCAGGATATTGATGTAAAGCTTTGCGATTTATATATCTGCATTCAATTTCTTTCCCAGACATGCACTTACTGCCTGTCAGGAATGTGATCTGCCAAGGAAAACCAGATGCTTTCGTGCAGTCATAGTAAGAAAAGAATAAAAAGGGAAAAAGTGAAAGATAACCCTGGAATCGGCCATGTGTCAATAGGTTGAATTTACAGTCACATCCGAAAGATAGCTCACCTTTCACTAATTCCGTTTGGGATCGTAAAGGGTGTGGGCCAACTTTCACAGTGTGGCCCAAAAGCAGCCGGAGCAGAATAGATTCTCGTCCAGTCACGCTTACATCAGCTGCCCAGACCACACCACGAGTATCGTATTATTGGAAAGACGAAGGAAGCCCTTAGTTTAATGAAGTGCCTTCTTAGTTGCACAAGGGACACATATAGTTGTTGTCAGCATTCACATTGCCTGCCCCCTTGCACAAATCGGCTGTACCCCGACAATGTTATTTCTAGGAGTGGACCATCTTTTGGGGTGTGCAATTTCTCGGGATGCTGCAGTGCGCAGATGATAGGTTGGATAAACCCCCCGTTCCCTTTGTGAGGATCCCGTCGTTGTTGTTGCAGATCGGTGGCTTTCCCGGTCACAGCGAGTACCAGCTCCCACCCACGCAAAAGCCTGCCCCGCCGGCCCAGGCCGGCCAGATGTACGAGATGGGGCCGCACTTCGGGGCCTTCCCGGGCCACCCCTCTCAGGCCCTGGCTTTCAATGGCCACATGGCACAGCACGACACTGGCCGCCTGGGGCTCCCCGGCGAAGAGGGCGACTTCCCCACGCGCCACCAGATGATGAACAGCCGTCTCAAGACACTGATTCAGACTAGGCAGAGCCAGAAGGAGCAGGGTCCCTTTCAGGGGCTCGAGACGACCCTAGGCCCCTCCGTCGGAGGAAGCTTTGTGCACCCGCAGGCTGATGCGACGGCAACTGCCTCCCGGGGGTTCCCGCCGCTTGTGCGGAGCAACGGTGGCTGCGGTGCCGTGAGCAGCAACAACAACGGCGGAAACAATGGCGGCGGCAACAACAACAACAACGGCACCAACAACGGCGGTGGTAACAACGGCAACGGCGGCACGGGCGGCGGCAACAACAATCCGAGGCCTCTGTCGTCAAACGAGATGCCCGGGGATGCGTGGCACGATGCGAGCCCGTCCTCGGGTCCTCCGCCGGGCAGGGCTGGTGTCGCGGAGCTACCGGAGTTTGCCAAGAACGGGTCCTCTTCCTCCTCCCAGGGAAGCAACAACAACGCCAACAACAACAACTCCGAAGCTGAGTTCTCCCAGCCTGAGGATCAGAGTCACGAGAGCGAGTTTGCAGAGGGTGGCGCTGCGGAAACCAGGGGAGGTGGCGGCGGCGACAGGTCGAGCGCTCCCCCCAACGGAATGTTGCCCTACGGAGGCTTCTATGGGGCGCAAGAGGCGGCAGAAGTCCGGAAGGGTGGCGAGGGCAAGGTCCCCCCGCCGACAACGAGCGCGGCGACGACCACTTCGGCGGCGGACGTTCATGGTGGTGGTGCGCATTACCAGTTCACGTCGGCAGCGACTTCGATGAGCACGACGACGACGAGTGCCTCCGTTCACGGCAAACCCTGCAACGGACCAACGCAGCCTTCGTTTGCGGAGCGGCAGTCGCCCAGGGGCGGCCCGTTCTCCGGTGCACCGACGTCATTCGCTCCGGCGCCCCACTTGGCGAGTATGCACCAAGAGCGCCCGGTCCCCGATAGTCCGACGCAGCTCCGCAACGAGGGAGGCGAAGCCGGCAGCGGCGGCCAGACGCGCGGCAACGAGAGCGAATCCACGGACGCGGCAGCAGTCACATCGCAGCCTTTTTTATCGAATACGACCACATCTATGAATACATATACAAGTATTATCAATACATATAACAGCTTCGCCGCTTCGTGCGCGCCGTCCTTCTTGGCCGAGCACCAGCAACCCAAGTTTGGCGGGAGCGTGGAGGATGCGGCTCGAACGGGGGGAGGAGACGCATCCGACGTAGATGGTGGTCGTATTGCCGTCGGCGAATTCCGTGGACTCGACTTTGGGGCACCCCCCCTGCCTCACCACCCCGGTGGCCCCGAGGGCCCCAGGCCGCACTACCCCCAGTACGGGGGGGCGCCTGCCGCGTTTGTGCCAGAGGGTCCTTACGCTGTTCCCTATGGGGCCGGGAACCTGGGGAATCTGGGGAACCCGTTCCCCCTGCCCCCCATGGGTGCCGGAGGTCCTCCCTTTGCGCCCATGAGCCTCCCTGGTGCCGACCCCTGGTGGGAGCGGCTGGAGCGGCTACGCAGCAACGCCAAGGCGGAGCCTCCGGCCTGCGACTGCTATGGCGCGGATGAGACGCGTGAGTACCGGACCCCCCGCAGTCCGTCCCTGGCCTCCAGTCTGCCTGCCGCCATGTGAGGGCTGCCGTGTCGGGGCCACCATGAGAGGGCCGCCATCTGAGGGCGCCCCTCCGAGTATTTTTGTAGACATTGGGAAGAGCTTCCGGCGGTTGTGTCTGCCTCGTAGCAGGAAGGCTGACGTCTGCACGCTGGGCAAAGGGTTGTAGGATTAACGTTGCTATGTTTCTGGGAGGCCGCAAACTTTCGCCGTAGTCTCGCTCGAAATTTCTGGCCAGACCTGTAGTGGATGGGCCCTACGGAAAGCCGTGCTTTTGAGCCCTTGCATCCTCTCGAGGAGTTTAAAGTTTGTGGTGTGCTCTTGCTAGCGGGTGAGCATAGTTTTGTCTGGAGGACATCTTATTGGTGTGTAATTGGTTTGCACAAACTCAACTTCTTTTGGGTGTATTGTTTGTTTAGCCTTACCGCGGCAAAGTGAACCCTCCCAGCGAGCGTAGTACGGTTTTCTTGCAACTCGTGATTCAGGCCAAAAGGAGATGGGCAGAATTTTGCCTGATGTTACAAAGTAGAGAGCATTATTTCTTCATATTCTTTGCATCATTGTTTTTCAATGGTAATTCGGAGTAAAACATTGTTCTGTAAACATTCAATTGTTCAGGCAAGCCTGAAATGAGATCTGTTTTACTTCTATTACCTATTTATACCTTTTAGTGACGCAAAATGAATACTTTGCTTTTGCGTGCCTGATTAACTGAATGCCCGTAGGGACATTACAGAAAATTACAGGACAAGATGGTAGTTTTAGAGGCCTGTTTGCTTTGAATCTGTGATGTTTCAGAGAAGATTTAAAATGACAGAGCCATAAGGTACGAAGCTACCCCTGCCTGACTCCTCCTCTGTGGCCTGGATCAAACTTGTCTCGCGTGTTCCGACGACCAGTTTGCCTTTGTAGATTTCGAAGTTCTACCATGACAGCTTTTATTTATGAAACAGCTGTACAGAGATGCTAATAATATGCAAGTCATGGCAACAACGGTAATATGCACATTCGAGAGCCAGGAGGTGTCTTAGCGCTCGAGAAACATTCCCTCCCCTGGAAAGGGAAGCCTGCTATGGTCCCAGAAGCCACTGATTGGGGACCCCTAAGAGCAGATGCAGGCGGATCACGAAACTTGTGCCAAATGAAGCGTGGACGGGACAGCCCCTTATTTTCCTCTCGCAAGTGTCGGACGAGCGTTGTCTAGCCACGGGTAATCGCCTCACCCTTTCGTAGTTGCAGTGCCCACATCGTCCATGCAGATTTCCAGTTATCTATGCACAAAAACAATACTCTTCTACGAACTGTTGCCCGTAACGGGCAAGAGAGTCGGAGCTTGGCGTGTGTGAATTGTTGATGAGCTGCGAGATTATTTGTCCAGCATTTTCCTTGCCATCATTCCCCCCTCCCCCTCTTTGCATTGCTCTCGCAGTGTACTGGGCATTAACTTATTGCACATTGCCTGCAACCCTTGTGTTTGACGCGTGAGCTTGGATGGCTTTTTGTTGTTTGCTGGCCAATGTGATTCGGAGCAAACATCCTTACGACGAGATCTCTAGCGGCGTCTAACTCTGCGAAGCAATTTGGCGAGGTTTTGAAGGGTGTATGATCTGAGAGCAGAGTGAACCAAAGAACATATCATGAAATGCTCAAATGTAAGGAGGTCCTTGGCGTTCCCTTTGCTTGCGGTACCCAGGTATTTTTTACCCACTGTCCTTTGTTTTTTTTTTGTTTTTTCATTGTTGCTTTCTGCTTTTATGTTTTGTACATTTGTCACATTTTCTTCGGTCCATCGGTTTCATTATGGTCTTTTGCACTGTTTAAATTCTCTCTGTTATATAGTTCTTCGGTTAGTTTCTACCTCACATTCTTTGTTCGAAGGTGTGTGTCACATGTACCTGTTGCATTTGTTTTTTTATTTTCGATCTGTGTCACAATTATTTTACCCCGAAAGTGGTTGTTTTTATCATTGTTCTGTTTTTGCCGCACTCAGGGAGAGATTCAACAGAGACGACATGCATGACAAGTTGAGAAATTATTGTAAATTGAAGGAAATCATGCTTTTGCTCTGGATTTGGGAGGTCTGATTGGTCTGAAGCAGTGAAGTGTGTGGATTGCTTTTGTGCCCCTACTTAAAACTGTACTATCAATTTTTTTTAAATGCAACCTATCATGTGATTTTTTTTTTTATACTTGTGTTTGTATTGAGATGAAAGTGAACAGATGAGTTGTACAACATTTATCAATACTCTTTGCTACTATACACAATTTTTTTACACTGTGCCATAGATTTTCTAACTATATAGAAACTCAGGTTTTGAAATGTGTGAGAAATAAATCCCTTTCATTTCAAAATCGAATGCAACAATGTCTGATTTTGCTCTTTTTTCCTCTTTTGCTTACCTTTTTGTGGGTGGTTTGTGAACTCCTTGTGCTCCGCACATTACACTCGACAGTAGTCCAGCTACTTTAACTGGAAGCTGCATACCATGCAGGCTTTTTTTGTAAGATGTACCTTCAGAACCATCTATGACAATAGGCTCTGCCCTCTTACATCAATAAACAATGTGCAACCAGCTTTTTGATTCTAAGTACTTTGCACAGTGCAGAAGTGGCTACTGACTGGGCGCCTAGTTTTGTGCGACTGCATGTTTTTTCCCTCTAGTCGATGGACGAGGCGCTGACTAGGGGCCCAGGCTAAGTACCACTTTTCCACACATCCATTTTGTGCTTTAGGTCAAGTTGCACATTGTTTTGTATCAGCAGCCCTATCCATACTCATCAGGTGCCACAAACAGTTGGCCATGGTACCAGAGCTTTGCACTTCCCCCGCTTTCTCATTGGACTCAAAAAGAAAGGCAACACATTTCAAAATGATGGCTTTTCAAGCAACCTGAGTTGTAAGAGGCACTATGGGTTCTGTGTGGTGATGGGAATTTTTGCAGCAGCAGCAACCTTTGCTCTTTTTTTCCTTTCTGCCCCCTTTCCAAGTTTGCCTGCTTCCCTTTTTAATCTTCTGCACGTGACACACTTTTCTTTGCTCGTTCTGCTCTCTTTGCTTTTTTGTTCCTGTAGAAGCAGTATTTGCTATATACTTTTTCATTTTCCTTTTTTCTTCTCTACCTCAAAACACTGAGGTGGTGCATGGCTTCAGTGACTGAAATGCAATTTTTTTATTTTACTTTCTTTTTCTTTTTATTTGAAAATTTTTCGTTCTTAGGGGACAAAAGTAATCCACAACTTCACGTCGTATGTACCAAAAAAACCCAAAAAACTTGTAAATGCAAGACGAAAATACTTTCTTTCCACTTTTCATCATTCATCTCTGTTATTCACCTGTCTCTCAGTTGTGTAGAGCATCATTGAGGGAGGTTGCAAATGTTTGCATCATCACCAGGATGTACTGTGCAGAAAATTTGAGCATTTTGCTTTGTTGTGTGGGCATAGGCTATTGCATATGTTGGTTCTGATGAAACATTCATCACTACACAAAGCTTGCAAAGCAGGTTTGGGTTAGCCACTCATGCTTGCTGAGTGTATCTCATCTGCTTATTTCCGAGAGCTGTACCTATGCTTGGGTGTATGATAAGGGGATATGGAAGATATGTACTGCACCAGGGTCCGCAAGGGATCCTGGTGCAGTAAAACTAGCTGGAAATCTTTGCGCCTGCACATAGAAAGCTTAAACGTTCACCCAATGTGTATTTAGGTGGGGGATTTTACCCGGTGAAATTTCGAGGCGTAGCTCCCTTGTCAAAAGTGAGCCAAACAAGCTTGCCAGTGTCAACGACGCACAAGTTTACAGACAACAGACTTGGGGATGGTTGTGACTTGTGGCACCGTCTCCCAATAAGTGCAGTGAGCAGACGACACCTTGTCGTCTGCTTTCACCGGAATGCATATTCGGTGACAGTTTGAGCTTTCTGTGTGCAGGTGCAGAGTTTTCCGGCTCTTTTCACAATGCCAGGATCCATTGTAGACGCCCTATATTACTTCATAGATTTTTTTAGGATGTCTGGAGATGACGTTCAATTAGATACTTAATAATGATTTACAATCTTAGCATCTGCACCGAAGCACAACACATGGTCCAATTTCAGCAAATGAGGGGACACTTATACTGAACACACTGACACTGCAGTGGTAGCGGGCAGTGGCTTCTTTTGAGACACTACTCTTGAGACCTACTACTAAGTTAATACAGGAGGTATTTCACTCTTTTGTATAAAAGTTTATGACCATGATGATATAATGAAAGGCTCACCTCAACAGTGTAATATCGGTTATTGGTGTGCGCCAGGAACACATCAACAGGAACATTTGAAGAGCCCTAAAGCACCTTAGTTAATTTTTGCCAGCTTATCAATTTGAAACCATTCTGGCACTTGCTTTTCAGGTAGTCAGTAATGGTTACATGTGTAGGCTGTCAAAAATTCCAGCAAAATTTTCACAGCCCTTTTATGGAGGTGGTGAAACAGTTCTGCTTCTCTGAGAAGTGACTCCAAGCTAAATCTGACTCAGAAATTTTCTTTTACTGACCTGGTTAGTTAGTGCTTTAAAGATCCTAGAAGTATCCTCACCAACCCCCAAAGACTAAGTGAAAGATATAGCTTATTCCATGAAGCAAAGCACAATTCACATGTGGTTATGTGTGCCTAGTAATGTGTGCAATAGGGCACATGACAACGTTATGCCAGGGTGGTCCTCCCTTAGAGAATGACACACAAGCAGAAAGCTACCAAGTGATGATTCAGTGTAATGCTAATGGGACTGACAAATCTTGCATTCTGGTGGATGTGTATCATCTCCTGAGTAGAGTCGGTCCCTCCTTTACTTTGAAAGCTCAATGCTATAATCTAAGCTCCATCTGCACTAAAAGCGTAGGCTGTTCCATATTAAACAAATGTTTCCGGGGAGCTTGTCTCATTTATTGTGAACTTGTTTCGGTGAAACGAGTGAGTGGCAGGCTACATGTGGAATATGTGAGCACTCTTCTGAAGGACAGCTGCAGGTGCACAGCACACCGAACACTAGCATTTATCGTTTTTTTGTTTTGAGAGGCGTAGTAACAAGCATTATAAACTAAACAGGTTTTTGATGATGGGGTACAGCTTGCAGGCCATTTAGTTTCTTTCGCCTATCAAAGCAATAGGGCAATCTTTATGAAACTGCACAACAAACATAGGAACGAGACTATTGATGCATTTCAGGTAGAGTATTACACCAATGCAATCACTAAATAGCAGCAAGATTCTTGCAGCATGTGGTATACAAGTTGCGACAATATGGGCCGGCCCAGCAGTGTTCCGGCTAGGGCGGCACAAAAGCCTTGGAGGGAACCTCGGGTATTTGAGCAGTTAAAAGAGAGGTTGGAATTGACTGCCACATTTCTTACTGTCGGAGTGTGGCAGTCGGTTTTATAGCTCAGCTTGCTGGAGGCACTCCATGCAGCATTTTACCCCTTTCAGCTGGCACTGAACTGGGCCAGCTCACATTGCAAAGCACCAGTGGGACCATCTGCAATATTGGGATATCTAGCAGTTATGCGAGACCCCCTCATTGGCGAGGCACCCTTACAATCCACCTTTCTAGAAATAACTGGCACCACCGTGCAGAAAAGGGCACTCGGTTCTGGTATGAAAATATCGACTCGTTCTCAAACAAGCGCAGGCACTCTCTCAACCATGGAAGCAAGAGTCAGTTGGCTCTATTGTGCTTCGGTGACCTAAATTGGGTTCCCCCAAAGCCTCTTTTGTCTCTATTGTGGCTTATCTTTTTGCCCCAAAGTTAACTCTAAGGCACTTTTTCATTTTCTTTTCTAATTTGTGCATTGTTCACATATTTTCATACCAGAACTTCGTGAACCGGCAACCTTGTAAAATGGTCCAAACCCGGGGACAACGTCCTGTGGCAGTGTTTAACACTATTGGTGCCTATCCATCTGCATCCCTTGAGCACAAATCAAAACTATGCACAACCTTCTGCATCGTTGCAGGAAATGCTCCAGGTATAGTTAAAACATGCTTATTACATGGGACACCATTGGTGCTGCTGGTACACACTTCCTTTGGGATAGCCTTACTCTTGGGACAGCCTTATTATTGGGACACTTACTCCTGGGACATCTTTACTCTTGGGACACTCTTGCTTTTGGAACAGCCTTATGCTTGGGACACCCTTAGTGATGAGACATTAGAATGCTGGGCCATCCTACATTCACATGAGACACCCTCAGTAGTGAAACAAGCTTGCTTGTGGAACACCCTAAGGTATGAATATCCTACAGATGTGAAAGATGGACAGTACTTTTGTAGTAGAAGCGAAAAGGAAGCAGCCACAGCACATACCAAGCCTGCACATGGCCTCTTCTGGTTGAAAATTGATATGTGATTCTGGATACGATGCAAAGACTTGCAACCTGCAAAGGTGGTTCTGTATAAGATGTAGGTAAGTTTTGCTGACTGGCATATAAAATCTTAATCCACATGCAGCTCCCGTGGATAAATCCCCATACTATACCCACCTTGGTGCTGGACCGACTGTGGCTGCTATTAGAGAGATGCTTGAGCACAGGTAAGAGCTCCATTTGTCTCTGCATACTTTTGTTTTGCTTGTCGACGCAGAATACATTTTAACAAAAGCAGAGTTGGATTTTTGTAGTCATTGCATCACTGTCGCATCACCGTACCATGCCTACGGAAGTAACGTCATCAGCCCAATCTAGTGGGCTAGTGTTCTGCTAACTTCAGCAGGATACCACTATGGCTCGCAGGGTTGGTGCCACTATGAGTCCCATGGCTGGTGTCACGACGGGTCGCGTCGCATTGCCACGTGGCTTGCGTCTGGCCAGGTCAGGTCGTGCAATGTAGCAGTGTCCCGGCGTGGCGTCATAGTGTCGCATGACTCATAAAGCCAAGTTGTGTCAGTAACGTTATTGGACCTGGCAACGTTGGGTGTCAAGTCATGGTGTAACATGATGTTATGTAGCACAGATTCCAGGTAGTGAACCCCACTCCTGGCCACGCATCAATATTTGATTGTGCCATTTAGAGCATCATCTAAATCTGAACGCTCCTCGTAAACAAAGTCAAGTTACTTTGAGCGAAATTACTGCCCTACTAATTACTTGGCAGGTTTAAATCGTGGCAGGGCTGCCTGAAGTCTATCGGATGTAGCTCACTGTTGTGCAAGCGCCATCTAATGGAGGTTTTAGTTGCACTTTAAAGGTTTTTGGGTGATATAAATTAATCCTTTGTTCTTCGCTGGAGTGTGCCAGATGTCCTTTACTAGTTTAGCATGTAAACCCGCAAATGTTATTTTAATTTTGGTTTTAGATGTAACTAGTGACATGCTGTTTCTTAAGAAGAAACATGCCTGATAAGAAAACCAGCCACAGTATAGTTATTGCCCAATCCAGTGGTGAAACAGAGGTGCCTCTTGATTGAAACTAGTATTAGTGTTATTTATTTTGGCTTAAGAGGGCCGTGGCACCACAGAAACTCAAATTGCACATATAATCGAGGCCTGCAATGCCATATCAAATGACGTGATAATGACGTACATATGTCGTCGCATCTGTGCGATGCACAATGTACAAGCTTAAAAAAACACAGTAGCATTTTGAGGTATGCCGCTCATTTCATGCTGCATTTTTGAAAGGTCTGAACTTTGGTACAAGAGAAGCCATCTTGAGATTTTAGGGTCTGCAATTCTTGCCGGTGAAATGCAGGCTGAACGAACGGGGCCCTGCGTTGCGCATCGAGAAGGTGCTCTACTCGGGCAAGGAGGGCAAGACGAGCCAGGGCTGCCCGGTGGCCAAGTGGATCATCCGGCGCAGTGGCCCTTCGGAGAAGGTGCTGGCCGTGCTGCGGCACCGACCGGGCCACCGCTGCTTGTCGGCCTACATCGTGATGGCCATCGTCGCCTGGGAGGGCGTCCAGGCAGACATGGCAGACGACCTCTACAGGACCGTGACCCACAAGACCGTCAACTTTGGCTTCCCCACTCAGCGGAGATGTGGCACCAACGAACAGTGAGTGCATTTTGGAACAGCGCTTCTCAAAATTTGAGTCACTGCAGACCCCCATTGAACACGCTTGTTTATATGACGAGTCACACACATCAAGGGACGTACGCCACAGTAAATCGGAAAAAGTTGAAGACGTCCGTCTGCCTGCATGTAAGTTAGATTTATTCCCTTTGGAGCAGTCTTGCAGTGGAAAACAAAAATGGCAACAAATGTTTGAGCGTTTTTTTTTGTAGACAGAATGTAGTAAGAAATACACTCACAACTATAATCGGTGACAAGTTAAAGGGACACCAAAACCCCAAAGGTTGTATTTTTTGTTGTTGTCTAAAAGGATGCAAGTTGTTGTCGTAGACACACAAGAAAAATACGACAACGCAAAAAATGTTTTTTTCCACGCTCGCACGCGTTGTTATTTTTGGCGTTCTTCTCTTCCTCTTCTCACCTCCTCACTTCATTTTATTTGTGACGTCAAAAATTAAGAAGTTTAGAAGCTTTGTAAGCGACATTTCTATAATATTTAGTAACGGCACCTGTAAAACATGTTTTTATTGCGATTGCAAACGCACTACGGCCCTTCTTTTTGAAATACCGAAAATCGGAGTCTGGAGTGATGTCGCCTCCTGGCTTTCTATCCTCCCTCGGAAAACGTGACGGCGCTCGGCGCATGTATAGCACTGAGGATGATTGGGGAGTTGGGGAATCGGACTAAGTTATCTTTTTTGGGTGCCCGACGACCTCTCAGACATCGAAAAGGGAATCATCAAACTGTCAAAACACCTAACATTTCTTTCAACTAGCAATGACATGAATGTGCTTGAAGCACTCCCTGCAATTCAGGACCATCATGAAAAAAGTAGAGAAACGGAGTGCAGTGTACAGTGATGTGATTGCTGCGCCAATTACGCCAAACTGTGCCAAGTAACTAACCCTGCTACATCCTGCTACATTTTGCCAAAATATGGGGGATCTGCGCCAAGCCTGCATCAAAGAACCAGTTTCGGTCGCCTTTCAACACCGAAAGTAAACTGAGTACTGTAATTGAGCATGTGTGTGTTATGTGGCACAAGCAACCGCCCGACACAAAGTACCCTGCATCAATCGTCCATCCGGCCTTGGATGGTTTTCCCACCGTCTTGCTCGTGCTCTCGTCGTCTCATGGGTGTCGTCTCACGAATCTCGTCTCGCGGTTAAAAAAAAAAATATTTTCAACGATAGACGCGGGTGTGTGCAGACGTTCTGGCGCTAGCATGGCGGGTACCAGGCATGCTGTCATGCTGTGAAACGAAACCATGTTTTTGCGCGGCGGCAGTTATTTTGTGAGCTGAAGCACTCGCTCCTGAAAGCAATGGCCGTAGGAAAACTATATTTGGTCCCTGCCTTCCAGTCACCGTGGTTGTGCGACGTCTTGTGTGCCGTCCCCATGTCGCTGCAGAAATGGCACTTTCTAAAATGAAACTAAGTACCGCCACATGTTCATCAACATTCCTGTTCTTGTTCAAATCATACATTACTACAACAATCCCTCTTCAACTCAAAAACTGCTGTGTCGAAGTATTGATTTCCTAGGTTTCTTTCGGTGGACTTTCTTTCGAGAGGGACCCCTGTACATGAAAGATCTGCCGCGAAAGAAAGTTGGTAAAGAGAAGTAAGCTAAAGCAAAGAAGGCAATGTCTGCACGCTGAACTTGCACAGCACGCTTGTTTGTCTCGAGTTCAGTTGTTGCACAAAGTGTTCCAAGAACGTTTTGGCCCTGGCTCGCGATGTGTTGCATCAATGCGCTCAAGTTCTTCTTGATTTGGTGTGTGTGTCTAGCTTGTACCTTGTTTGCCGGCCTGGCAAGCATGCGCCGCTGGACTGTTTTTCGTCGTATGCTCGACAGTTACATTTTGCGTATAATTTTGGGAATCGGTTGACGATGGAGTAGAGTGGCATGGTTTCAGTTTCGATCCAACAGCCGTTATCTCCGCTCACGCAACGAAGCACGCGCAACTTCAAGCCTGCCGAAGTTGCCCTCACGTGCATGCGAACATATCAGCCGGGACGCTTGCGGCACGTTGGCAACTGGTCAAACGGTGGCTAGCGGTTTTTCGTGATTGCTTCGCAACGCCTACAGCACTGTACACTTGAGGGATGTCTCTGCAGTAAGAACATAACCAGCGAGTTCCATCACAACACGTCACATCAGAACACAACAAAACACAAAATGACTATCGTTTGTACAGCACTTAAAGAAAATATTTTTATTTTTATAAGAATATCTGCTTCCAAAGCCACTTCTGCTGCTCCAAATCACTGTCTTGGCTGCTCCAGAAGCCAATTTTGCTGCTCCAAGACACTGTTTTAGTTGCTCCAAAAGCCACATATACTGCTCCAAAAGACTGTTTTGGCTGCTTCGAAAGGTGCTTCAAAATGGCTTAAGCCAACCACATCACTGGGTGTATTATGTGCGTGTTCACCTCGTATAGTGAACGCTATACATGGCTATACGTCCGAAACAACTGGGTGTGGCGTCTGTACACCATAGTTTCGGTTGTGATCCTGCCGGGGCATCCTTTCACGCAGAACTGGCGCTACGTGGCCCCTCAACTCACTCACAAAAACTAAACTGTGCATTCCTCTTGGACCTCACACCCTTTAAAAAAAAAATTTTAGATCAATGAAAGGGCCCTAAAAGAACTTCAAACTCGAAAGTGAAGTGTCGTCTGCTCACAGCGATAGGCAGCAGGCATGGCAGGCACGGAAAAGAGCGTGATCGCGGGACGTGGGCGAACACGACACTTCGGGTCTGGACGGTTCGGAGGCGTGAGAGAAACTCGAGCTGCAGGACGACTCAATATGTGATGTCACTGCTCTGGCGCAGATCACGCTGGAACTTCTACTTTGACTTTGAAAAATTGTTTTTCTACTTCGCATATACCAAGCTCCCAAGTGTGTGAATTTTGTGGGTAACGTCCAGGCATCGTTTTCAATCCTTTCAATAAATAAAAAAAAAAAAAAGATTTTGACCTGTCAATGCTTTTTTAAGAGTTCAGGACGGGGGAAAGGAAGGCTGGGGAGGAGGAAGGAGGTGGATGTTTCCTTCTCTCCTCTCCAGCAATCCTTCTGCCTCCGCCTCCTCCTCAGCCTTCCTTTCCCTCACCCTGAACTCAACCTCTCACCGACTACAGAAACCGTCCAGAGCGCACCGTCCTGTCAGAACTGTGTTATAGCTGTGTAGACAGTAAGTCTGATGATTTCAACCATCATCAGTGTCGTACCTGTTACCGGTGGAGCGATCCCCAAATCACTGCGTACCCTGGGGGTCTGTGTACCTAAAACCCCTGGGGTTTCTCCTATGAATTTTGAAACCCTGTGAAGTGAGCAGCCACGTATTGACATTTGCTGTCTGGTGTCTTACAACCTCACATTAATGCTCTGGAATACTTTTCCGTCCCTTTCAGACGAACCTGCGCCTGTCAAGGTGCCGACTCCGAGAACTGTGGCGCTTCCTTTTCATTTGGCTGCTCTTGGAGCATGTATTACAATGGCTGCAAGTATGCACGGAGCAAGGCTGTCCGCAAGTTCAAGCTCTCAGAACAGTCCCAGGTTAGTCCTTCAGGGTGGGTGGGTTTGTGCCTGCTGGGAACAAAAAAAAAAAAAAAAATGAAAGCCGTTTACAAATCCCTGTAACGCCGAATCGGAGCGCAGCTCTTGAGGAGGAGTAGGGAAGGGTACTGAGGGGGGTCACGTGATCTCGGGGGAGGGGGGGATCACCCCCCCCCCCCCCGGTTACGCCGACGCCGCTCAGGCTGGAAACGGGCCCCTAAGAGCTGCGCTCTAAAAGGCCAACCTGGCAGAAGGAAGGCTATTTGCGAGGTGTCACGAGCCTGCAGGTATGGGCCTGAACATTGATGAAATGTATGAGACAAGTTTATTTCATACTTTAGTTGAGAGCATTGGTGATAAAGTTAAATACGAGCAAGAATAAAACACGGAGGACGAATAAAACAACACATCTTTCTACTTGCAATGTACGGAGTTTAAGACCGACAAGCATCCGAGCCGTGGAATTCTCGGGGGTGAAGGGAAAAGGTTTCCCGCGAAAGGAGGAAAAGAGCGGGGAGTGAACGGTCCCGCGGAGAAGGATGGAAAGAGGAGTCCCAGCAGAAAGGGTGGGGAGAGAGGAGAGCACCCGCCAGGGAGGGAAGGAGGGGTGGGGAAGAGAGACTGGCATCCCGCTTGTCCACCCATTCCTCAAAAGTTTTGTGTATCGTAGAGTGTTTAGATAGCCCATGACTCCTAAAACAAAATTAAGTTTGTTCTTCCAGCAAGAACATTGTCTATTGTGGACTATTAGCCCTGTTGAGCACACTTCTTACTGAGCACTGGCACACTTTGGAGAAGCAACAGCAGCGGAAGCTAGCTCCGCTGGTGTTGCTTCTCGGCTGTGCACCGATGCTTAGTAAGAGGTGAGCCCAATGGGGTCGCGAGAACAAATAGTATGAATTACACGAAAATACTGTTTGAATTAAGTGGCTTCTAAATACATTAAAAACATAGTGGGACAACCCAAGTTTTGAAATTCGTTTGAATTAACCTAAAGTATGAAATATCCAAGTTTGGATTATCGCGAGCATACCATGAAGTATACCAATGTCGGTACATAACACGAGGGAACTAGCTTTTATTATAAACTATAGTGTTTTGGTGGGCCGCCCTTTTTGTAAGTGAGACATTAGAAATACTAAGCGGTTTTCAGAGGACTGTTTGTCCCTGTTGTCATGCAAGACAAGCTTCCTCAGCGGTTGAACCACTTTAAAGGGCAACTCTGCTCAATTCCAAAAATTTTGGGATAATGAGTGATTTTACATTAAAAAGCACTAATATAAAGCACGACGTCACTTGCTTCGTGAAAACTGGGATGTATATTGTTAAATCTTACTTTGAACATGAGCAGAAACCGAAACTTTGGCTCCATCTGGCAACATTGGCCTCGGGCCGTCAGAATCATGGCTGTCAAGTGGTACGAAATGTCACGTGATCCTCTGCGCAACTACGGGCGGGATTGGGGCGGACCGGCAAGCCATTGTTGGGGCAGGCGTGTGCCAGGCGCAAGTGTCGTCTGCGCCGCACTCTTCACCACGTTTTGGTGGCTATGACGTTCGACAAAATCTGCACAACTGCGGCATCGGTCTGTGCAGGTAGTGTGAACGATACTCTGAGAGACAATAATCACAAGTGATGAGAGTGAGACAACAACGGTGGCTGTGACATGGGTAACGGTAGGACGGCCAGACGGCCGTCCCGCTGTCCTCTAGTCATACAACTAAAGGACAAGTGTGTTAGTACGCCATCCATAATATTGTCACAAAAGGAGATTTATTATATAGCTGCAAATTTACCTAAGCAATAGAAGAGAATTTTTTGCCTTTTATTTTTTGTCTTTTTTTATTTGAAGATTGTCTCAAATTGAAGCTGAAGTTAAGCAATACAATGTTGGTAGTGAGCACTGTGTGAGAGGTTTGTTCCTTGTGTGTGTGTGAAAGCATGAGTGACAGTTTTTTGAGTGCGCTGCAACGTCGACCAACATCGAAATAAAGATTGGAGTGGGTATTTGAATTGGTATGGAAGCATGCCAGGTATATTGTGGCACATACTAACTAAGTTTTTTTTTTTCTCTGGAATAACAGGAGCAAGAGCTTGAAGACAAAATGCAGATGCTCGCCACTGAAATGGCACCGCTGTATGCAAGGGTGGCTCCGGAATCCTACAAAAACCAGGTGCATTTTCTTACCCAGTTCAGATGCCCCAGAGTAGTTCCTTTCCTTTGTCATACTGATTGGAAAGTTTTTTTCTGCCATTTTTCTTCAAGGTATTTTTTTTGTTTGTTTGTTTCTTAAAAGCCCGGTTTTGGAGTCAACAGAAATCTCGAATATTAAAAATCATGAGACTGTTAGCAGCTGTTAAGTACTTTCCACACTGTTGATTGCCTCTGCTCTTTGCGTCCATTATCCGTTCCGACACTTTTGTAGTGAATTGCAAGTTTTTTAGGACAATATCAAGCATTGTGCATTATGCAATGAAAGTTGGTTAAGGTCACTTGCATTTTCTGGGACCAAATATGACTACGGAACATCTCAAATTTTGACTTTCTATGCAAAGTGTTTCTCAGCTGTAAATCGTTCATTGGTAACTGAGAATATGTTTAGTATACTGTAAGCAAGTTTATATTCATTTGCTCGCTATTTCGTAAACTTTGCAAATTGTCGATTTTAAGATAACTTTGTGGGCACAAAATTTTGTGATAAAGATTGAGAGCTATGTATTTGTTACGGCAGGGTAATACATTTGCGTGACTAATCTTTATATATTCTCCCTAAGTCGCGAAATTTGTGAATGTTATGTCCCCACGAAATTTAGGTTGTTTACAATATCTTTAGCACGACTAATATACTGTAAACAACTTCATTTTTGTGAAAACCTCATTTTTGTTTTTTTGCAAGGAAAATTTTGTTAATAATTAGTCCCACGAATATGTCACACCATGGTAACGAATACATAGCATATCACTCCAAAATCGCAAAAGTTTGTGCCTGAAACGTATTGCCAAAACTCACTTCACAAGATTCGCAAAATATTGAGCCCGCGAAAATTAAGTCGTTTACAGTATCTGACATGACTATAAGATGTCAGCTGAATCACACGGACGCAAAGTCTGCAATCGGACATCCAGAAAATTGTTAAAAATGTCACCTTGCAGTTTTTAAATTGTTTGATGGAAAACAACTTCAGAGCTCAAAGGGGCCATGATATGATTTTTCAACTTCTTCCTTCTTAGCTTTCCTCCTCAACTCACAAGTCGTGCAGCATTACCAAACAGCTCAAGAAAAGGGAAAGGAGGAACTCCCCTCTCACTCTGACCCTTGTTTGTGTACCTAGACGTCGACATTCTCCCCCTAAAAAACTAGCCCGTCGCTCCAAATTCATACAAAAGTTGCTTCCCCCCCTCCCCCATTAGTGCCCGTGGCTGCGGAAGCTACGTGCTCGTTGGGCCAGCCACACTTCTATCTTTTGCCATGTAATCACACTCCCTCGTGCATACCCACACATAGTGAATGAGGTCAGGTGATGAAAGAGAGGCGGCTGATTGGTCTGGCAAGTGTGTAGCTCTCACTGTACTGTATTTAGGGGTGAACGGAACATAGTGAGGTTGGGTGTCGTGTGACGTGCTTTGGGGCAGGGTGACGTGCTTTGGGTAGCGCGGATGTATCACAGTGAAAAGGCGGAGAGCTTTCGTACCAAAAGCAGGCTTTCGACTTCCTACCTTCTTTCTTCTGGCGCACTAAATGGAACGCTATTAGTAAAATCCCAGTCTAAATTCATTTGTCCCTGCCCAAAATTAATTTCATGGCCCCTTTAAAGGCTGACAAACAGCCAGAAAGGAGGAAACTTCACTTCAGTTCTTCCTCTCCATTCGGGGAAAAGGGAAACCCTCCTTTTCTCTTTGGGGGGTAGCGCAAAGACTCCCTCCTGTCGGGAGAAGAAGGGAGAAGAGTGCAAGAAGAAATAGAGGGAAACTGGGAACCGATTTTTTTCCCGGCAGAAGACGATTTTGTAGGTCGGCCTTTAAGCTGGTACCCCTTCATACCTGCCAACTCTTTCGAATTTTTCGTAAAATGTAGGAATTGGGACTAATTTTACGATTTTACGAATCTTGCTTCAAATTTTACAAAAAAAAAATTAAATAATTTTTTTTTTTTTTACATTTATGTTGTAAATTTATTGCTGGTGATACTTTGCACCACCACAAAAGGGCGATAAGTACCGTCCAAGGCAGCGTCGTCGTTTTTACTATCCGTCTATCCGGTGGCCACGGATCCAAAACCAATCCAAAGCCCAAAGTTTGTGTGTTCGGCGGCGCACGTTAGTTCGGCGTGTTCGGACATGGTTGGGCCTCTGTTACGGCCAGTTTCGAGGCGAGCAGTCCGGCGTCTGTGTTTGTTTGTTGCACGTGTAATCGTAGCATTCCCCTAGTCATGGTGGCTTCGCGACGCAGTGGCGAACTCCAAACCTCAAACGAGGTACCTTCAGGTGTTCCTGAAGTCCTTAACATCGGAATTCCTGTGCTTCGTTCCGTCCAAAAAGGAAGAGAAGTTTGGATTCTGTAGCACGTGCACGTGTGATGTAAGCGTTTCGCACGGTGGCAAGGCTGACATTAAGCTGCACATCACTTCGCGCAAACCCTCCCCCCCCGCGCGGCCACGGGAGTTCTACGATTTTGAAAGTCCACAGGATGGCAGGTATGCCCCTTTCAATTGAGCGGAACTTTTAATAATGTATGCTCGTGTTTGTCTTTTCAGACCGAGTTTGAGAATGAAGGGATATCCTGCAGGCTAGGGTTGAAGCAGGGAAGACCCTTTTCTGGGGTCACGGCGTGTGTGGACTTCTGTGCCCATGCGCACAAGGACCTGCACAACATGAATAACGGCTGTACAGTTGTAAGTGATATGCGAGCACTTTTGTCCTCTGATCTCTTTATGAGCCTGTATTCTCCATGTTGTGGGAACTAGAATTTGTTTTTCGTCAGTATTAAGGATCTCTGTATTATGGGATTGAGCCAAAGTCACAAGTACAGGCATACTGTGTGGCCTGTGTCGGATAATTTTGTAAATTTTACACTGACATTGAGTACAATAGGGCGCACGAGAAGAGTTTAAGTTGGGGATATTCTATGGTGTAATTTATCACTGACTGTCAAAACCGAACTGAAACACAGGTATCACGGCTGCTGGTATTGGGCACCAAGATATCCTAAGACGGCAAGGCGGTACTGCATAACCCAGTTTATAGCCCAGGTCATACAACTCAACTGCCTCGTTGCCCGGCCAGAATTTGACTAGCTAAACCTCGTATCTTCTTGCTGCAGATTACTTCGCTTATTCCTGTTCTTTCTGTTTACCCACCCCCGACCATACACCCTTGACAGTTACAAATGACAGTTACAAATAAAATAAAAAGGCAAAATAAAATTTTACGATGACACACAAACTACGACAAGACACTGTACGACATGCAGTAGAAGTTCTTTGATACATTTTTCAGGAGTCTGCGATAAAACAGTATGATACAAAAAAAAAACGATAAAGCTTTTGCAGTCTACAGCCATGATAGGAAGCAATTCTCACTCAGCAATTAATTTTCATGGACTTTCACGGGTGTGGGGAACTAGTACCACATTTATTGAAATATAGGCCAAGCATTTTTTTTCATGCTTTTTTTTTAACTAGAGGTTTGTCTATAATTTTAATCAAAGAATGTTGACCAATAAGATTGAGCAAATCGCCCAAGTCTATTGAGCCTGTGCAGATGCTCCTCGCGTCAGCTGCTGCCCCTAGCACACTGTTGCGAAGCGGTAAACATAGACGGGCATGCCAGTGCAAAAGGAAAAATCTTGAGGCACCTGCACTGTGTGCAGTGCACGATTACCAGCTCTAAACGCCACACAAAATGAAACTAGCAGAACCTAGAAAACCAGCGCAACAAAACCGTGCACGCAGGCGCATGTCGGAGAAAGAGATACCTAGCAAGGTAGGCGAGCTATTGCAAAAGCCAGAATCCCTTTCAAGCCTAGTAAGAGGTTGTGCCTGCCCGAGCAAGAATGACAAGAAGCACGACTCGGAGAGGCAAAGAGCTGAAAAATGAAGGGAGCGTAACGATGGGAAGGGAGCAGCGCCGGCCCAACAAAGCACGTCGGGTGCAGTCATGAGCTTGTTATCGCTAAAAAGTTACCGTGTTATAGTTAAGTTACTCGAGGTAAATAATATTTTTCGTCCACAAGGTTTGAAGAAACAAAAGCAATAGCTGTAGCACAGTCGCGCAATGCGGGTGGAGTGGCGCCGTCACATACCCAAAGACGGAGGTGCGACGTGGTAAATTTTCATAGCGGTTGCGGTTGGCGTCATGAAGGCCACTGATGGTCGCCACGAGTGCTAGGGGATCCGTAAAGTAATCGGGTAAGCGTGATGGAAGTTTTTAAAATTATCCAACATTACGCATAGGAGCTGGATACTGCTAAAGTGGGATTTCCTGTAACACGAGTACACAACACGAATACTCCCCCTTTGTTGCATCGTTACTGGCGGAATGCCAAGGCTCCTGTCTCTTTTCTCTCTGCGCTGCGTGGCCAACAGGAAAACCCGACTTGCCTCTCCACGCGCCAAGAGGGGAGAGAAGAAGGCTTTTTCCATAGTCGCGACAACAGCCCATGAGCTTGAAACCTCTGCAAAGTGTTGCCCTTGAAGGGGCACTGATACACCCCAACATTATTTTTTAATTTTTTGCCAGGCGATTTTTATGCTGATTGGGCAGAAGGCTACCCAATCAGCATTTTGCTACAGTGTGACATATATATTTAATAAAGTAAAAATTGGGAGCCATTCCACTGACCAGCGAAGCTGTTTATCAGACGTCACAGACGTGACACAGAATTTTTGAGCAAAGGTACGAACACATTTATTGTGTTGATTAGTGGTCATTGTGACGAAAGGTATGCACACACACACACACACGCCGCCTGCCGCCGCCGCTGATATTCTTGTTGCCGTTGCTCTTTGTAGGCGCGTTGCTCTTCGGGAGTTTGCGTTGCTCTTCCGGAGTGCTTGGGCAAACAGTCACCAGAGGCTGTCCTCTGCGAAATGCACCCGCACTTCTTCTTTTTGTGTCCTTGGTCGAACGGAAATGCTTTGGGGATGCCGCGCATTGTTCCATCTCTGCGCGCTGTGAATGATGGTACGGACACGATTGTCCTCATCCCACCAGTTGGAAAAACATTTTTGATTTTTTTTTTAGGCGATCTTTGCAGCAGTTTCTTGCTATGCCCTCTCTTCAGAGTTGTGAAATGATTTGGTGGTCATATTTGCAATCTTTTTACACAGGTACCTGAAAAGTAACTGCAGTAACGTTACTCCTTAGAGTTACTTTAAAGGACACATGCAAAGGAAAAAAACATTTTTTTTAGACAGCTTAGATGGAAAAAGGATGTCATAAAACAATTTTACAACGAAAAAAAAAAAAAACATTTTAGAGCTATATTTATGGCGCTAAACGAATTTGTAGTTGGCGCTCGCGGGAGCCGCCGCTGGTCACGTGGTAGGCCCGCGTGCCGCCGCGCTGCGTCGCCGGCGCACGCTGAGCGTTGTGCGAACGCCGCTTCAACGCGTTTCTCCACGCCGCCGTTGCCGCCGCCGCAAAAGTTTGTCTGCTTCGGGGCGCCGCCGCCGTCGTCTGACCGGCGCACAGGTCTATCGCGTCTGCTTGCGCTTTTTCAGGAGTTTCCTTTGGGCTCTAAAAGTTACTTATTCATCTTAGATTTTGTTATACTTCAAACAAAGATGAATAAGTTACTTTTAGAGGCCATAGGAAGCTTCCGAAAGAACGCAAGCACCACGGGATAAATAAGGACCAGTCACGTGATAAATACGGACCACTTTTCCGCGGTGCCCGCGGGCGCCAACTACAAATTCGTTTTGCGCCGTAAATATAGCTCTAAAAAATTTTTTTCTTCGTTGTAAAATTGTTTTATGGCGTCCTTTTTCCATCTAAGCCGTTTAAAAAAAATGTTTTTTTCCTTTGCATGTGTCCTTTAAGAAATAGTAACCCTGCTACAGTTACTATCACCAAACAGTAACACATTAGTTACAAGTTACTGAAAAAAGTAACATTACCGGTAACGTGTTACTAGTAACTATAGTTTCTGCCTACGACTAGTCAGGTGGCAGTTTTACGGCGGAGCTGTTAAGGGCTAGTTTCCCCAGGATTGTGTTCCCCGCAAAGAGATGTCGACACAAAACTGTGGTGGCCGCCGTCGCTCGTAGATGGCAGTAGCTGTCCAAAGTGTTGTGTTGGCTGGTTGTCCGCTTGCCACCAACGCTCATAGATGGCGCAACCTTTCGAGCCTTTCCACTCTGGCTAGCCAACCTGCAGCCAGCCACTACTTATTCCCACCATAGTACAGCTTCGCTGGTCCTCCTTCTTCACCAAAGTGGAAAGGCTAAAAGTTTTTTTTTTTTTAGCTGTAAGAACTGGAAAAGCAGACTCATCAAACAGGAAATTGGTACACATATCCCTATGGAAGTTCACTGGGACCGACAGTTGTGAACGTAAGAGCCGGGAGGATGTATAAACCAAGAATGTTTAGATAAAGTTCCACCGTATATGAAAAAAAAAAACAAAAAAACTGCTACATCATGCATTTATGCATGACACAGGTGTTGCTTTTAAATTAGTCTTATTGGCAGGTCAGCTCTTGCGTTACCCAACGTAATACTAAACTCTGTTGCAGGTTGTAACCTTAACGAGACATCGAGGATTTGACAAGGGCGACGACGAACAGCTGCATGTGCTTCCACTCTACATACTCGACGCGACCGACGAGCAGGGTGGCAAAGAAGGCTTTCACGAAAAGGTGCGTGCAATGCCCTCCTTTCCGCATGTTGTAAGACTACGTAGATACCAGGGTGCCGAACCGGAACCGAACCGAACACCGGAACCCAACCGGTATTTTTTCCGGAACTGAACCCGAACCCGAACCGTTATATTGTTATCGCGATGAACCCGAACCGGAACTGAACCGGAAAAAAAATAACGGTTACCGGCTCATGTCAAAACGGTTCGGCCACGCGCTGTTGAGAATGAATGTGCTATCAATGCCATTTGTTTTTAAGTGCCGTCAACTGACACACACCTCACTTACATATTTTTCTTCTCCACTCAGTCTTAGGAATATAAACGCTGCATCCATGAATCTTGTCAAACGCTGCATCCATGAATCTTGACAAACGCTGCATCCATGAATCTTGACATAGGAACCAGTATTGCGCTGGTCGCGGCTTGCACGAAAGAAAAAGAATTGGAAGGCTGTGCAAAAAAAAAAAATCTCGTCACGGGATTTCATTTTCCTACAATCTTGTAAATCCTAAATGCTGCTGTGTGCTCATTTCATAACATGTTTCTAGAACGCGCGAGTTCTTGAAGCTTGCTTCCATCGGAATGAGAAAAGAAAAGGCTGTGGAGTTTGATAATAATCCATCCGGTTTCGTATAGGCACTTAGAAGCTAACATATTTGTGAGACAGCAAACTCTTCTACTTTAATATTTATCCTATTACGTCCTTCTGGCGTTGCGTTCGGTGAACTGTTTTTCATATTCCGTATCTTGTTTAATGAAAACTTCTTTAAGGGTCTGATTTGAGTTACCGAAGGCTAGTTCAAATACAGAAAGCTGTATTTTCTCCCACTGTTCCTTCAATTGCTTACACGCCGAGGTGGCGGGATAGTTAGCGAGTTCTACTTGTAAATGGGTTTGCAAGGAGGTCGCGGATTTTACAGCTACTGCGTCGGACCCAATTAGATGAAGTCCGAATGCGTAATCGTCGGTGAGGTAACCTTTGAGTGCACATAAAGAAACCATTCCTGGTAGAAATTCCTGAGCCTTATACTACGATGTATCCCGTTTCGTATGTGCTGATTTCAGATGTTTTATTTGTAATTTATTTTGATGTTGCAATTTGTCATTTATAATTTCCTAACCGGTTCGCGAACCGGTTCGCGGATCGAATTAATCGAAGCGGAACTGAACCGGAACAAAATAAATTTACCTGAACCTGAACCGTAACCGAACCCGTATTTTTTTCGGTTCGACACACTGGTAGATACTGTTCCCAGTAATCACACACCTATCTTAGAGTGCAGCTCTTATGCTCCCGTTTCCGAGTTGAGCGACGTTGGCTTCGCCGTTGGCGTAATTGTGTGCATTGCATTATGGGTCATTACAGTTTCCTCACTAAATTTAGCAGGGAAAATGACGTCACGACTTCGTATCATGTCACCCATGAACAAATTCAGCGGCAGGAGGAGACGAGGAGGGAAGAAGAAGAGGAGGACAAGGAGGAGGGCATACCCTCCCCTTCGTACCCTCCAATCTTCCTCCTCAAGAGCTGCGCTCTAGTTTCGCATTGCAGAGACTTGTATACATCTTTCATTTTTTGACAGCATCTTAATTCAAACCTGCAATGAGAGGCAATTCCACTAAAACCTGGAGGTTCCGGTGGTCTCAGTAAATAGCCGCCTCGCTGTTTGCAAGGTTCTGGCTGTGGCAGCGCTTGTCCCATCACTGCGTCTTCTACAACACGGTTTCTTTTCTCAGGAACAGTAGAAGCCAGGCAATGAAGTACTACAAAGCAACAAATTTAATAATGACGCGAAATGTTCAAAGCTCTCAGGTCACTAACCAAGCAGGAAACGCTTACCACGCCATGCAATGTCAGTAAGAATTGTGGGCACTGCTAGAGTTACGGCTCTTCCACCGTATCTCCGACTGGTGTGTGTGTGGCTTCCTATACCACCGACACAATGAAAGTGGCCCCGAAGTGAAACCACTTTCAATGCGCGAGAAAATACACCGCTGTGTAATGCCGCATGTTATTGCGAACCTGGTGGCTGGTTGTAGAAGTGCCGGTAAAGAAGGTGAGCTGATACAAGTGTCGCTGTTGTCGCAACGTCCCACCCCATGGTTTTCTCGGTTCCGTCGGCTGCCACAAAGCGAGCCATGGCGAAATGGGCGTCTGCTGCACCCCTCTTTGCCGCTGCAACACTGCCAGGATTGCGGTGAACAGTGGCATTGGGCACTCGTGATGTTGCCGACTAGAAATGAAAGGGACAGAACTGTGGGGCCTGGAACGCGTGATTATTGTTCCTCCATCGTTTTTGTGCCCAATCTTGGTATCTTGTCTCCTCGCGGCTTTAAATTTGCCAGATAATAGCGTGGAACAGCCATGGCGTGGAACAGCATGGCATATCTTTATGATGGGCATCGCTTCTCTAGTTCGACTGTGCCAGCTAAGCTGAATATGCTTCGAAAATTATGGATTTTAGCCTTTAGGTAACTAATTTGTTGATTATCCCTTTATACTCGTAGCCCAATTTTCGTCACTCTCTAGGAAGTTATCCCGAATAAATAATTCCATTATTTCAAGCGCCTTTTTTAAAAATTATTCCCATTCATTGGTGAAGAACTCTGTATATACTCGCAAACAACTTTCTGTGGCTAATGCAGTTCAGGCTATGGGCGCACGTGCACTTGCGCATCTTGAGCACCCATCAAAGCTGTGCACACGCACTCTTTATTTCTTCTGAAGTGCCACGCAAAGTTGCCCTCAAGTATAGTCTAACCTTGGTTATATTCAAGACATCAGCGTTTCTCTTTCTCCCTGCAGATCAAGAATGGGTCACTCGAGGTTTTGTCGAAATTTCACACGACGTCCAGGATAAGAAAGGTCCCCTTGGGGCCCTGCAAAAAGCGTGGAAGGAAAGAAAAGGTGACCGAGGAGCCGCTGCACTCAATTCAGCAGTCTGCAAGTTCTGAGGTGAGAGACCTGACCTTGTGCACAGCATCGAAATGCTAAGATGTTCTCCTCATCTTTCCAGGCCCAAACAGATGAAGGGTATGCTTCCCAAACCATGCCATCACCAGTGTTCAGCCCCAGCTTCGAAGTGCCACAGGCGTATTGCAGATCTCCTTTCGAAGACAAGTACAAATCAGGGATGAGCAAAATGAAGCATGAGTCGGATCTCAGCCACCTGAGATACGAGATGCCAGCAAGTCCCTTTCGATCTCACTCTCAGCAGGCCTTCCACAGCACCAGGGACCTCACCATGGTGCAGTCTCCTTCCAGCGGAATGGTCGGAAACAAGGTCAAGAATGAGGCTGTTCCTCAAATGTCTTGCCAGTTTGCTGCGGCTCCGAGCGAGAACCTTGGCTTGCAGAAGCAGGACTATGGCAGTGCTGAATCTCAGGGTCCTTGTTTAGGAGCTTCCGGGAGGGAGGACACAAAGGTAGTAGTCAAAAACGAGTATGGTGGCGAGTCCTGCATCCGGAACACTGCGGGTAAAGAGGCGGAAATGTTCAGCAAACATCTCGGACAGTTACAATCACCGACACTTCAGAGTCCTCTAGAAAAACCTCATCATCATGCGCGAAAAAGCATACAGAGTTCACCCAGCCCCATGATTCAGCCGTCCTATCTTCCACCTCAGCAAGACCTGAGTTACAGCAACCATTACTTCAGCGGCAGCTACATGCATCAGGGCAGGCAGCCTAGCCCCGGCCTGTGCACTCTTTCGCAGAATCCGCTCGTGTCTGGCATTCCGGAGAGTCCCCCTGAAGACCATCACCTCGCAATGAACTGCTACAGGATGACCGACAGGTACCATGCCTACCCAAACCCTCTTCAGCACGTCGGTCAGGAAGGGCACGCTCTGGAAACTCACGGGATAGACCACCTCCAGAACTTGGCGTCCGTCTCAAACCATCACCTGCAGAACCTGGAGGTCAACCGGCCTAGTGGGGGTCACGGCGTGTACCCGCCCTTCATGGGGAGGCCTGCGCCGATCCAGCACTACGACCATCAACCCATGAACAACCCCACGTTCAACCACATCTCCCAGGCGCCTTCGCCGCAGGGGGTCATGCTTCCACCCCAGTCTTACATTGCCCAGCCCGTCTCGCCGCACCTGACGAGGAACGTCGGCTACGGCGTGCCCGGGCTCTCCAGGACCGGCGGCTTCCTCCCGTCTCCTCACGAGGCCTTCTTATCTCACCCCAGTCCTCCCGTCACCCCCATGACTCCTCCCAGCACACCGAGGCTCACGGACCTCAATCCCGTCAGGATCGACTCTCCGCTCCACTTGCGAGCCTCTTACTACTCGGCCGCGACGAGTCCCTTCGGCGTGCCGGTCGACCCGTCCTACTCTCCGCTGGCCAGGAGCCACAGTCAGGGGCCCGCCTTTGCGCCGTACATGGACGGAGCGGCCTGGGCCTCCGACCGTGACTACAACAGTGCGGCTCTCCAAAACTCCTTTTACGTGCCGCGCTCCCAGTGCTTCCCGACGGCAGCACCGCCGCTGCCCCAGAAAGACTATGCGTTCCGCGCGCCCCCGGGCAGCCACTTTGCAGGACCTTCTCTTCCCTCTTCGTCGCGTCTTCCGCCCGGCCTGGCCACGCCTCCGCAGCAGGACCGCTCTGCCACCGCCAGCGTGCTTCCCCCGTTCAAGAACACGTTTCTCCCGGCACAGTCTGCCCTCAACGGTTTCGAGCGTCACCTGCAGACGTTCAAGTCGGTGATGATGGAAGACGCCGCGCAGAGGGGCTCCGCCTCTGGGCTCTACGGCGCTCCGGCCCCCACGGGCCGCCCTTCTCAGCGGCCAGCTAGTCACGAGGGCTTCACGAGGACGCCTCTCGAACCGCCCGTCACGGAAGAGTCTTCCGAGGGGATCTACGAGGTGGACTCGGACAACGAAAGCGCCTTCCAGGACGAAGAGGTTGGCGGCGTCGCCATTGCGCTCACTCACGGGTCGGTGCTCTTCGAGTGCGCCAAGCACGAGCTGCATGCGACGACTGCTCTGCGGAGGCCCAACCGCAAGAACCCCACCCGCATCAGCCTCGTGTTCTACCAGCACAAGAACCTCAACTTCCGGAATCACGGGGAGGAGGAGTGGGAGAAGAAGATGGAGGTTCGCAAGTTGGAAAGAGCCAACGGGGAGCGGCCCTCCAAGAAGAAGGCCAAGCTCTCCGTGGACAGGTTGGATGAGGGTGGCGGCTTCCCCGCGGCTCCCGCAGACGTCGGCCAGCCGTGGGAGGTGCCCCCCCGCGTGTCCCTGCCGTCGTTCTTCGCCATCAACCCTTACCAGAAGTGTTTTTAGTCGTGGCTTTTCTCGTTTCTTCCATGCGGCAGCATTTGGCCCGTTGATCCGCATTCTTTTTCGTTTCATTTGTGCATGTCGTAGCGCCATCGTTCTTGCCTTAGGCTGGTCTGAGGTGCCCTGGTAGAGTGGTCGTGGCAGTGTTCTTGTACGCTCGAAATGGCTGCTTCGACGTAACATTTGTATCTTACGTTTACCCTTAATGCGGAGTTTGTCTAAATTAAGCGACGTGAGAGTGAGAGATATTTTTCCTGGCATTCTTCTGAAGAATGGCCCGAATTCTGTAATGGCGGTGCAGCCGTTAAGAATGGCTGATTTTTCTTTTCGAGCTTTTATCTTGGCAGTGCTAGTCTCCATACCAGTTTTGGTTTTCTTTGGTTAGTTAATTTTAGTTCTTAGTTAAACCTCTGCACCCTATGCTGTCTGCAAATTTTAGATTCAATTCCAGTTTTCAGCAATATTGTCAATTGGGTCTTTACTTAAAATCGAGGCACATGCTTGTATAACCAGTGTGACAGAGTGCCTTCAAAATTTACAAATATTAAAATGGAGCAATCGGCTGTTATCATGATCACTTAGTCCAAGAAATAAGTGTAATTATGGGAAACTGCTAAGAAAAATGCAGCTAGGTTAAGGAAAAAGGGCTGAAGTCAAAACTGCCTTCTCTTTATTCAGTGCATCTCACAATGTTGCTTTGTGCACTTGATTGCAGCTGTCGGTTGCAAATTAGGTACGGTGCATGTGACGTATGAGGGACATCAACACAGTATAGGAGAACCATGGTAATTCTTAATGACAGATGTGTGCCGTACACTTGCAACTTAAGAATTCACTTATGCAAGTTAGGCAGCCATTTGCTACTCAAAGTATCGCAGAGACAGCTGCTTGTGCTGGTACGAGGACAAGGGTAGAGTTCCCTGCTTCCAGCTTGCATGAACCGCTTATGAAAACACAATCCAAGAACATGTTGATGAAGGATGAAATCCCCGAGAAACTGTAAATAAGGCCATTTTGGTGAAGTGGAGGGCTTTCTCAGCTGGCTAACGAAATTACATGGATGCAAACAAAAGCACCAGTTCAAGGAGTGAAGCAAACATCGTATCATTGTGTACAAAAGTCATCAACCGTATACATTGGCAAGGTAACACTTGCTTCATGGTACATTCAGATTCCTAACAGAGTATTCCTATGGTCATCTCTCCTTAGTTATGCAATGCATGTGCAAACTATGATGGTTTTGTGCGATTAATGCTTGTTCAGTGGCTGGCCATTAGATGCATCTCACAGAATCACGATGCCCTTGATTGCGACTGTATTCATGTGTCGTAGGGTCTTAGTTTCATAGGATTTGTCGGTTGTTTTGACACTGTGGGAGTCGAGAACGTCTCAACTTAAAAGGCCTTGGTACATTGTTGTGTACTTGTGCTGCACGTTTATAAATTTTTTAAAAGCTATATTTACGAATGGGTCCCCTTTTCTGAGCCCTGAATGTGTTTTTCTCAGCAACATGCGCCAAAGTATTATTCAGAAAGAAAAAAAAAAAATGAATTGTCGAAAATCGGAATTGCCAAAGCTTTAATTTTTACAACAAATACACCACTGCCATTTTAGTTTACCATTGTTAGTTTTTTTAGTTGATTATGCCCCCTTTTTTTGGTTATGCATGCCATTTGACATTTTATGTTCAGTGTTGTGAATGTTTTAATTGAAGTGCATTTCTGTACAGATATGTAAATAGAAGTATACCATTTTGAGCAGATTAGCATCATGCAGTTACATATACATTTATTCATAAAGACCCTTGAGAAGTGTATGAAATTCAGGCACATCTGAGGTTGTTCATTAAGGGTTTTTCCAATAAAATGTATGTCATCATTGTGACAGTGTGTTGTTTTCTCCAGCAAGAACAACATGATTCGCCTTTCCTATAAATCGGCGGTGCTCTGATGTTAGAAGGAAAAACAAAATGTATCGTGTATCTGAACTTGCAGGTGTGCTAAATGGAATTTTGAGTTCTAAGCAGAGCAGAACATGGATGCAGGAACAGCCAGTATGGAAAGGTTTTGCTTCCATGTAAAAAAAAAAAAGAAAGTCCAAAGTTAAATGCTAATTGTAACGCGGGCAGAGTGAAAAGATGTGCCGAGCAGGACTCATTTTATTGCACTCCAATCCAGCAAAGATATTTCTTTGGCATGAGCAGGGAGAAAATACTGGAGCACGATAGCCAAACATATAAATCTTTGCTCGATCCCAAGTTCCCAAGCCGTGCAAGCGTTTAGCGTGTGTGGATTGTAACAGATAGGTTGTAGGTTCGAATGCTGCCTCCGCCTAAAATCCTTCAAATTTTTTTTTCAAGGCAAATGAATTACTTTATAAAGTGAAATTGCTTGAGACACGTGGCTACCTTTAATTTGCATTACATGTCATGTTTTAATTGCTTTCATTCCACGTGCGACATCACGTTATGGGTTAAAAATTCCCAAGCAAGGTCATGTGGCTGCGACGTCGTGACCCTATCGACCAGTTAAGATTTTCCCATCCCAGTAAAGCTGGCTTATCTGCGACACAAGCTCCCTAAAGCTATCGCTTTAACCCTTTGACGCCCAGTATTGCCCAGGAGCAACGACTCGAGAATGATTTAATTTCTCCCACGCCATGTGCGCCTCAATAAATTTAGCACCCTCTGTCACAAAGGAAAGGTGACCTGCACTTAGTAGTTGGGAATCTAATTGCATCTTCAAAACAAATCACTTGTCCTTTAAAACCAAAGCTGACAATGGATGGGAGACACAATGGCGTGCACCAGGGACCTTCAAACTCTGAGCAGGAAACCGGACGCAAATATTGCAAATGCAGTTGCAAGTGTCTCTACTGAGCGGAATTCGAAGTGCACCTGTGCCTTCTCCCAGGTCGTGACTGCTTTTGGTCATTGGACGTGGATAAATGCTGCAAATACCTAATGTTGCTCACGAGAAACATTTTAGATACACAATTACGATAAAAGGTAAATTTTTTCTGAGACCAGATTTACGTTATTTTGTGTGTTCTAAAACCACGTCAGTTTCTAGGACTACACTATATAACGTTGTGGGCATCAAAGGGTTTAGAAGCCGTTTCTAGATTCTACTTTGTACGTAGAACTTGGTCTATAAACAAGTAATTCTTGATTAGGACTGCTAGACTGCCGATTTGCATATAGCCAACATACCTTTTAGAACTGCCCTCCTTGCGATTGACGGGTTATTTTGTTGCCAAGTTATCTGATGAAGATGAAAGAAAGGTGTGCCTTTGGTTCCACAAGCTGTTTCCCACTACTAGAGACTTGCAAAACCCTAATTTTCAGAATTTCATTCCCTGCAGAGAGAAAATCTTTAGGCAGTTCTAATATGTAGGTCCAAAATCTCTGTATTCCAAGCACATATTGTCCAAAATATGAACAAGTGAATTTGACAAATATGTTTCCTTCGACTTGTCAACCAATAAATAGCCTTGGTTAGTGGTTTTGGACTTTCAAGAAACAGTGGTTTGGTTGGGCAAGGGACACGAAAATTGTTTTGGGGGGCAGGTCCAGATTTATTTTTGGAGTGGAAGATGGGATATGGGGGTGGAGGCTTGGTATGTCGAAAGTGTGGGGAAATAGGTACACACTGTTGGATACTGAGCATCAACCAGGCACTGAGAGGTAAGGCAAGGTAAGGACATCCTGACCTCCCCTTCACATCTCTACAGAATGCTTTCCCCCGGAGCACTATGTGGTTTGCAAGGTGCCTCCAGATTTTACTTCATGGCTTCCTTTAGTTACTTGTAGTCAAAAAGCTCAGCTTTTGAAGACCACAGTCGGAATGTTTACAAAATTTAAAATGATGAGACGCGAGTCGTCACTTGTATGAGAACTACTTTTTAGAACTCTATGGACAGCTAGAAATATGCCACTGCCAGTGCAAGTACCACTACCACTAAAATGAGAAGGCCCTTGCTTTCAAAGCATGAAATTCTTTTAACAACCCCCACTCTTAGAAATCTGTTTGTCCGGTTGTGCACAAGTTTTCCCACTAAATGTAGAGAGGGCATTGATGTGCTGTAATTGTACACCAATTCTTGTCGTGGCACACATTATTGATCACACAGGAAGTGTTTTCCCGCAAAATTTGGCAGCAAAATTTATAAGGTGGGTTTGTGCAAATTGACTAGTATTGTGTGAATATTCTACTTTTAGAATAGTAGTTTTAAATAATACACTATTCGAAAAGGTGAATTGCGGTATTGGTACTTTTCGAAGTGTTAATCACCGCAGGTTAGCCCCGTTGAGTGCGCTTCTCATCGAGCACGTGTGTACTGCGGCGAAGCAATAGGCTCTAGGCAGGGCTCCAGAGCGCCACCGTCGGTTGATCATCAGTGCCACCATCGCCAAATGATGCAACACTGGGACGGCTAAAACCGGCAGCGCCGCCGGCCTACCCTTGCGAGATGATGTTATTACCAACTCCGAGTGCTGTGTTGTTGCGCGCTTCACTACCGACTCTTTTAAGAATCTATCAAACGTTAAGTATATATAAATATGCATGCTGTGTGGTTGTGTCGTTCATTTATTAGGGAGTTTTAGTAAGTGCCTTCCTTGATAGGTAGACAGCCCGAAACGGGAGCTAGCAGAACAAAATTGAACGTCCTGGTATTACGGCCAAATATAAGTGAAAGCAAGTAGACAGGGCAGTTTTTTCTTTTTTACATTGTTTGCGCACGCCTCAGGATAACAAAAGCGAGGACTTTGTCGAGCTTCCTTCCTCTGCAAAAGCAGAACTCCTCGCCCCTTTCCCTTTTACCTTTACCCACTCTTTTTTTCCAAGTGAACTCTTTCCGCATGAATAGCTAACCTCATTTTGGTGGTCAGCTTGTTTCCAGGCCCCTCTTCGCTGTGTTGAAGACGATTATGGTGTCTGAGAAATGTGTTTTTCGTGCAAGCTGGCTGTAGTTTGGCCGGTGTTGTACGCAGTTGCTCGTCGCAAGCTGATGCTCGTTCTCGTCGATTGAATATGCCTGTTCACTTTTACAGAGAACAGAAATAAACGCCGCATGGATAACCTTTTCTCGTAGGGTAGGTACATTTTTACAGCAGGGCTGTTAAGGGCTAGTTACCCCAGGATTGTGTCCCCCACAAGAAATGTCGACACAAAACTCTGGTTGCCGCTGTCACCTATAGATGGCGGTAGCTGTCCAGAGTGTTGTGTTAGCCGGTTGTCCGCTTGTCGCCGTCGCTCATAGATGGCGCCACCTTTCAAACCATTCTACTCTGGCTTGCCGACTTTCGGCCGGCCATTACTTCATTGCAGCGCGAAACATATGTGCGTCAAAACAGTTCAGTCTGACGTGCGAACTACAGGAACGACGTTCGGGGGCGAGGGTTTTTGTAGCATTGGAGAGCGTCGAAAACTCTTGCCTCCGAAGGTCGTTCCGGCAGTTCGCACGTCGGATCGGACAGTTTTGACGCGCATGTGTACAGCTTCGCTGGTCTTCCTTCTTCATCAAAGTGCAAAGGCTAAAAGCTTTTTCTTTATTATTATTTCTTGAGTTGATTGTTTTCTTGCAGCGGGGACGAAGTTGAAACCGCATAGACACAAGTCAAAATAGATTAATTAAAATATGGCAACCAACCAATTCCTAAACATGTAGGGGCCCTACGTTTCGAACCGACTCGGTTCTTCGTCAGGGGCGACTGTGGCCGTTGAGGAGCGACGTTTTTCGATCTTCTTTTTCTTTTCTCAGGGATGTGGCGCATTTCTCGATCTTCTTCTTTCATGAATATGGCGAAGCCCGTTCACATACACTGTTGGTAAAGCACCAAGGCACCTATTTATGTTGCCTGGCGTCGTTTGAATATGCCAGGACTCGACGAAAAGCCTATGTCGGTTGTTAGTCTCTGCGTCGATAATGCTGGTGTTGTCGAAGTCAATCCGGTGGTCTTTGACTTCGCAGTGCTCGGCGACTGCGCTGCGCTCGTGGTCGAGCTTGCGAACGTCGTTTTTGTGTTGGCGTATTCTTTCATTAAAATTCTTTGTCTCGCCGATGTAAGTGGCTGGACAATCTGCACAAGGGATCTTATAAACCACGCCCTGCGTTTTTTCTTTCGGAGGGCGATCTTTTGGACGGGGCATGAGTAATCCAAGCGTGGATATCGGCTTGTGGGCTACGCGGATTCCTTCTTTGGCTAGCACGCGTGCAAGCGCCTCGCTTGTTCCTCTGATGTAGGGTACGCAGATGCGCGAGGTTGGGCGTGGCTGCGTACAGGCTTGTGGTTGCTGTTGTCTTTGACCTCGAGCTTGACGACGGGCAACGCGTTGGATGAAGGTGCTCGTGTATCCGTTCTTTTTCAGATCAGCACGGACGGTTTTTTCTTCCTTTCTTCTGTCATCCTCAGAGGAGCATATAGCCTTCGTCCTAGACAGCAGTGTCCTAACCACCGATGCTTTGTGGCAGGCTGGGTGATAGGAATCAAACTGGAGATAACGTCCAGTGTGCGTGGGCTTCCTGTAGACTGAAAACTTCAAATTTTCTTTTTCTCTTCTCACGAGCACGTCCAAAAAAGGCAATGAATTGTCTTTTTCAAGTTCCGCTGTAAATTGGATAGCCGGTTCGATGGAGTTGAGGTGTGAGAGGAATCTGTCCACTTCAGATCTTTGAAGGATGCAGAAGCAGTCGTCCACATACCGCAGAAATATTTTGGGCGCAGTGGCGAATGACTGCAGGGCCTCTTCCTCAATGGCTTCCATGCACAGGTTAGCCGTGGTAACGGAGACAGATGCGCCCATGGCGGTTCCGCTGGCTTGTTTAAAATACTCTCCCTTGACGCTAACCCCAACCAGAGAGACTTCTCTCAAATGTTTAGTTTCAAGTCAAAATAGAGCAACCATCTTGGGCAGCTACGCGATCATGCTAAACGCGCAAACGACAGTCCGTTCTGCAATCGGCGAAGCGGAGAAAACGCTCACTTCGGTTTTCGGTAACTACTCTCAAACGTCCACAAAATGTTGTTCAACCAAGATGTGTCCGCGGAGCAGAAAGCAGTGAGAATGTCAAAGGACTGATCTGACTGAGTCATCGCATCGTATACAAAAACAACGCCGGGCTTCGAGCACATTAATTCCAAATATTGAGTCAAATAGCGCATTTAGAAATCCATCTCACGTCAGGCAATGTGAACGGAATGCCTATATTCCACGTTTTACGGCATTTATTCACCTCCAGCGGCGTTGTATTTTCCACGGCCTCAACGGAAACCTGCGGGGCTTCACGCCTGCTAAACTTCCAGGGTTGCGACAGTCCGGTATGCAATGGTGCCTACAGCTTCGGTTTTCACTCTTCTGCGACATCCGATAGTAATATTAAGAATAAAAGACCAAAAACGCACAAATCAACACTTTCAAATTGATGCGTGAACAGCCCCACGAGCAAGCAGGCTCGCGAGAGGGCCTTCTCAGTGTTGCAAATATTTTGAACCAAATGGCGAAACGTGTCGCACCAAAGTTGACTGCCCCGAAGGTATACCCGCAGAGCTCGCGGGCTCTGCGGGTATAGCTTCCCCGCAGTGCACGGGTGCTTGGTGAGAAGCGCACTCAACGGGGTTATTGCGCCGATTATACAAATATGTTACACACGGGGACAACTTTTTCTGGCATTTCTGAAGTGAAGACCACACGAACACAGCTGTGATCGGCCTCAATGTGGGCAAGCTCATGGGTACCCATAGCTTTGGCTTCATTGCCAAGAAAAGTTGTTCCCAGGTATACCAATATTTAAAAGTCCTCAGCCCAGCACGCACATGTTCGTCGCGTCACGACGCGAGCAAATCACTCTCCTTATGCACAAACACTGAAAATGGTACCAGCCAGAAACCCTTTTTTGAAAAGGTCCATTTTTTTTTTTTTTTTCAGATTTTATATAGACGTAAGGATATTTGCATATAGCAGGCAGATTTATGAAACCCTTCAATTGGGATAGCTGGACAAATCTGTCGTCTACATGCCACAGTTCATAAATATAGTTATATTAAAATTAACTGGACTTTGAAGTGGACAAGTGGGAGGTTAGAAACAACCTTCACGAGTTCAGCTAGATTTTCGTTTAAGCATGGTACACGGTAGTGAAAGACTTGTAGAAACTATTCGATATTAGATTCGAATATATTTGGCCAAAACCACCATTCGCTTCGACTTCGTTTCGAACTCAAAATCCACTATTCGCACATGCCTACAATTGACATCACATGATCCGACATCACGAAGTATCACAAGGCCATGACACCAATTAATAAACAATTCTTTTTCACTAGCCAAAAAAGTCAAATTTAAACTATTAACTTCTTAACTATTGTATTCCATGCACTCAAAGTAGGATTCCCTGTTTTCGAAATTCATTTTTCTTAAATCTTTTTTTGGAATTTGTGTTTATTTTTGGTGCCAGGCAAGAAGTCGGGGTTAATGTAATAAAGCAAACAGCATATATATAAGCTTGTGACACCAAATCCCCCCCCCAACCCCATGTTTTCCTTTCTTCCCATCTATTGAACTTACGCCCATGACCCAAATACTTGAAAAACGTCATCCCGGTACAGAAGGTCGAGACGTGGTTCCCAACGAAATAAGCACTTTCAAGGACAGTTAGTATAAATAATGTTCAAAATCATGCACACACACACACAAAATGTTGCAGGAGGTTATTTTTTCCAACAGATTCGGTGTTTTTCGGTGTCAATTTTTGGTGTCAGACTAGAAATGGATGTTTGTCGCGTCTTATGTTGAAGAGGCAGGACACGGGCGTGTAATTTCCCAACCTCTAGAGAATGTGTCCAGAATAAATGTAAACGTCCCGGTACCAATAAAAGATGGAAACAAGATAAGGAAGGGGTTTCGGAAAAAAAAAAAAGTCACAAAGAGTTCAATGTGGCTATGTTCAAGGTAAACACCAAAAAATAAAATTGTACATTTTTTTCCCCCGAAAAGTTTGGGTTTTTTATTGTGAAAGGCTCTTGTTCGGGTTTTTTTTTTTTTAATTTTCCACGATTTTGATAAAACTGGCTTGGGGGTTAATTTTAGGCGTTTATAAATATTTACCAAAAACACAAAACCCTAATTATAAGTAGGGTCACTGCTACCTTTTGTCTGTAGTGCTTGGCAGATTATTTAGTTGATATACTGTCGAGACCGGTTATAATGAAGTCGGTTATAACGAAAGAGCGGCTACAGGGAATCGCACGATTTCCTCTTCTCTTTTGCACTCCGTTAACCGAAATCTGTTGTTATGAAATAGCAGATACAGCAAAGTGATTTCTGATTCCCAATGACTTTGTTATAACCGGTCTCGACAGTAGTTTACATGAACAAGCAACAGAAGTGAGTTTTGTATTGTCCTTTTACTAATGAGAAAGGCACTGATACAAACATGATGATCATTAAAAACAAAGTCAAACTTCACGGCAAAATGGGATTTAGCTGCCATACCTCAAAAAGCCAAGTAGTGTATACACGCATAAACTGCATTACATCACACAGATTTTTGTTTGTCGTTGATTAAATGCAAAGAGAAGCCCAAACTGCATTACCACACAGATAATTTAAAACACTATAATGCGATGGAATTACACCAATATAATGTGTAAAAACTTGCATAACACTTATACAGGTTGCACTGATATTGCATGAAAAATTTCAGAATGTATGCTTAACTGAAAACTACTTGTTGGCACATTTGTTTGTCATTGTATTACAACATTACCAGAAAAGTTGCCCTTTGCTGTCACTGACCCCAAATTATGTATATGGTATAAGCTCACACAATTCAATGTCAATATACTCTTAAAAATGATGAGCACCCGCCGGCAATATGAAGGTGAACACGTTACCTGGTTTCTTGCATGTTTTACGGCTCACTAAAGCTATATTAACTCTCAACGTCTCAAATGGTACGTGACCAAGGGTCTAAACTTTGCGTTCTAACCCTGTTCTAGAACAGCTAGAGCTTGTTCCAAAACTTGCAGGAGCATCAAAAACAAGAAGAGCGCTGTTTACCCTCATATTGCTCATGAGTGCACCTTCTTTCTTTATAATAAATGCTTCCTATACTTGGCGACTTTTCTTGGCATTTCTGGGGAAAGGAGGAGAAAGCATGCAGAGCTTTAATGAGCGCTCAAAATGGGAGAGGGCATTCGTGCCCATACCTTTGACTGCGTTGCCAAGAAAAGTCATTCCCAAGTATAGCTGTTACGGTAGCCTCGCATTTGGAATAAGAAACCGGCATGAAGTCCAGTTCTTGTTGTAATGAAACAGGACGGCTTAGACCGAGAATCAATGTGATATAAATGTAACAAAAAAATTACAATGTAGCACTGTTTTGAAGGCAAGCAATGTTCTCATAAATGTAAAGCCATGTCAATATTGATCAAAGTTAAAAATCATAATGCCACTGAATTCACAGAAAATCTGTAATGCCACTCTGTTGTTTGTAAAAAGCCTTCTGTGGCTCACCACAGGTGAAGATTCTTTGGTTTTTAAAGGGACCATGAAAAATTGTTCAGTTCAGCCAATTTATCTGCCTGAATCTGGAATATTGTCCACTGGTTTCTTGTTCGACAGGCTACTTTTCGTGAAAGACCAAAGGAAACAGGAAATAGAGGTGGGGAATGGACGATAGTGATTGGGGTTTGATGCCTTTAAAAGAAAACATGACTGTTAAAATTTAAAAAAAATGCAGAAAAAAATTGTTTGAGAGAAATAATATTACAGTATGTTTCAATTACAAGCACATTCCTACAAATGAAAATGTCTGAGTCAATTGGGGAAACATAAATATTAGGTACACATAAAAGTACTGTGGATTGAAACTTGCTCCACAGTTGGTGCACTGGAGCATGCAGCACTGCTTACAGATGTTTTAATAATGTTAATGAATTTACATTGAATAGATCTACCTGGTGATACTCAAAACTAACAAGAATGCCAAGAAACAAACACAGAATCTGAAGGTTTGAAATGCAGAAATAAACCATGTTGCATTTCCACACCTCAAGATGCTTTTAGAAGGATAATGTCAGCATCAACAGTCAAAGCAGTGCATGTTTTGCTAGCCCCAGAGGGAAAAATGTTGAAAAGCACAAAAAATTCGAAATAACTATTCCTAATTGATTTAACAACTCTGAAATGTAACAGAACTGATCTAAACGCTAATTGCAGATTTCAAATCGTCCCTAAAGTATATGATTTGGTCTATTAAAAAAACGCTGCAACAGCCATGTCCTCCCATAATTCGGCAATCACTTAATTCAGAAACCATCTACTTCACTCAGACGCCCTTAAAGGGGACATGAAATGAATTTTAGGGTGGGATAAATAAATTTAGACAAAAATTTGAAAACATAGACTATTTTGTGCCCTTTTTCCCTCGAAAGCTCTCCGCCTTTTTACTGCGATACATCTGCGGGACCCAAAGCACGTCAGCCGGCCCCAGCTCTTGCATTGGACACGAGCACTATGTCACTATACTACTCCATTCACGCCTAAGCTGACAGTACAGTGGAAGCTACCCAATTTCTGGACCATACTACTCCATTCACCCCTAAGCTGACAGTACGGTGGAAGCTACCCACTTTCTAGAACAATCAGCCGCCTCCCTTTAATCACCAAACTATTCTCTGCACATGGGCATGTGGCAGAAGATAGAAGTGCAGCTGGCCCAACGATCACAGTTTCCACAGCACTGTCAGTTTTGAAGTGAAGGAAGGATAGCTGCTCGGCAGTACTGCGGAAGTTACGAGCGTGGGGGGAGAAGGCAATGTTTGTCCGAATTTTGAGTGACGGGCTAATCTTCTAGGGGGAGAACGGTGATGATTGGGTACACAAAGGAGGGTTCAAGCAAAAGCGGAGTTCCTCCTTTTGCTTCTCTTGGACTGTTTAATAACGCCGCACGACTTGTGAGTTGACAAGGAAAGCTAAGAAGGAAGAAGTTCAAAAATTGCTTCATGGCCTCTTTAATGCCTACAAAGGTTAAAAATTCAGAAAATGGTCTGCCTTTATACCCAAGATTCCAGTGGAAAGAGAGCCTGTCATACAGCTCTACCACACAGCTGAATACACCTATAAAGACTATATTTCAGTGTCATTTCACAGTCCTTTCAAGTAAACAGAGCTTAAATTCTACAGTCCAAACATCAAAACATTGTTACTAGAAAATAAAGCTAGAAAGCACAGCAAGCAAAAACAAAATGTGAAGCTTGTTATCATACAAAGTCATAACTAAACAAGCCTCACAAACCTAACGAGAATGTTGGGCAGTTAGTCGGTCCTATGAAAGCCGAGAAATGCCAGCAGCGTGAGCAAATAGCACCACAAAATTCCAGGCGAATGCCCACCCTGTTTTTCAGGCCAAGTATCTTTATCATGATAAGCATGAAAGAGTGCCCATTCCCTGAAACTTCTGCAGTGTCCAACAGGACTTCCTCTATACACTGGGACATCTTTCTGTGGCATACGCAACAAGAGAGTGTGCATAGCTTTAATCAACGCTCAATCTGGGAGAAGACACATGTCCTCGAGCCTTTGATTGCGTAGCCACAGCAAGCTGTCCTTGAGTATAGCTTCCATATTTCTAGTTAATCAAGCACTTTTTACGATTTTAAACTGGGTAGGGAAGTAGAAAATGATGTAGGATAACGTGCTATGGGGGAACTTCCAAGCTTCCGTATTTCTTGTTTTATAGGATAATGCTCTTAGAGTCCAAGAACAGCACCATAGTATGCGAGTTTGCCAGATCCTACTATATCTGCCGTACGACTTCCCACACTGCACAAACTCATAGTGAGTGCCCATGCACCGATCTATCTGCGTCCTATAGTACTATCCGTGGTATAGCAGGCAGGCTTGCTAGAAGTTCCCCCACGAGGTTGTTTCATCATACTTAAAACGCTTTACCAGAACATATTGCAAATGGGCACGCAGGAACAAAGGAATGAAATGAGCAACTATGAAACTAAACATAGCACAAACCGTACGAAACAAGAACCAGTCTGAATATAAGCTTGTTCGACTAGATGCTACAAGGACGTCACGTAAACGTCGACTTTGAAAAAACGTGGACATGTCGACGAGAAAAAAAACTCGCAGGCCATGCTTTGGCATCACAAAAAAGTAGGGAAACAGAAAAGAGAAACTAGTAGCAAGAGGTTATAGAGAGCGTACGATAGAAAAAAGAGTATTTGATTCGGCACGGTGCTAACCGACGTCAAGGGATGTTCCCTATTTACACGACTTGTCCGAGTTGCGTTCGGAGCTGATTGTCACAGGGATTGACTTGAGCTCCAGCATCCTTGCTAGTATCCTCTGTCGCATGATTGCATACCTGGAAGGGACAGAAGTTTGAATGCTTTAACACTTGCTGTTTCAGGCAAAAAAAAAAAAGCTATGCATATATAAAAAGAAAACATAAAATAAGGTATGAAAGACATCAGTAGAAAACAGGTTTCTTTACTACATTTTGCCTTAAAGGGAGGAACTGAAGTGGCTTTGTTTGTGAGAAGAAACATTTAAATAGTCTTCATTTGTCCTCCAGGATCACGAATATCAAAATTACATTTCAGATTGATGCGCCGAGTAGCCACAAGAATGCTTTCGAATTAGCGCTGAAGCCCCTCCTTCCCGACACGTTCGGTGGGAGGGGGAAATCATGACGTATTATGCAGGGGTCTCAACATTCGCACACCTTCCGCAAGCCTTAACCGAGCAGTCAAAAGTGCTGCACGCATTCCCTCACAAGCGGCACATGCAAGACAGTTGAAACTTGTGGGTATAAAGTCACCCCCAGGCACGAGGGGCACAAGGGGTGGATAATTTTCCCGTTTTTCTCGTGTTTAGTGATACGCTTGGGTCAAATGCTTGCAATATTCAAATTCATGGGATAAAAACACTCGAGAAGTAACCTCCAACTCGTTTTTTTTTTTTTAAAGGACCTCTTCAGCTTATTTTTAAATGTAAGCAAAGTCAAAGGCTGGGCAAGACTGCACTGTTTTATCAAATGTTTGGACTTAGTACAAAACCCCGGAAATTGGGTGATGCCTCACATCCTTGAGAAAGCCACTTTAAAACCTACCTACGTGATGCATCTAACTGCACATTATATTACCCAACATATAATGTGCAGATGCTAAAATGGCTTCGACAACCTAAATATTCTGGGAACATCTAACAGGGACGAACGAGACTTCAAGGATCTTTTATTCACGAGAGATGGAACTCTATGATAATGTTCCTATGGTAGATCTTTTATTTTTATGCTAGATACAATGAAGGAATACAGTAAATAGCTCTCAAGCCCATCTTTAATGGTATGATTAAAAAATATTTTCAGAGTACAATTTCAACACAGATAAAAAAAATAATGAAATCTCTGCTCAGGTGAGATTTATTGGTGAATATTAAATATCTGATATTGTGTTGAGACATCAATATTAGAACCTATAAAAGAGGACCTAACTAGATCCAATATTTTTTCATATGTTCCAACACAATTCACAAGAGCGTAAAAATTGTCACCTAAAAACAAAATCTACTGTCATTCAATCTCTTTTTGATGCGACTGTAGCTTCGAAGGGATGTCAACAGAACTGGAATGCTAGGATCCTAAAAACTCTCATATACTAAAAGAAGAGGTCAATAAACCAACACAAAATTCAGAAATCCTGGAAACAAATGGTGTTCCATGTTTCTATCTTTTCTCAAAGAAATGTGAAAATAAAGTTTTAAACTTATTTTCGTGCAAACATAGTAGTTGGAAACTACAAAATATGGACTCCTCGCTGCTAACACAAATATGAAGTGTTCCAAACAGCCCTCGTTTTTCTCAACTCTCGACGTGTAATGGAAAAACGCTCGCCGACATGGCTTGTTCCCACATTCCGACGACCCACAGTGTCTGGCTCGAGTAAACCGACTTGTACGCTCATGCGGCGAGTTTTTCCACGCAAAGCAAGTCCCAAAACACAAAGTTCTTGATGAGATGCTGCGGCACAATACTATTTGCATATTTAAACCTCTAAGAAAAATTTTTAACGGAACAAAGTAACAATAATGCACAATTATGAGGCTGCTCTTCCCAACTCCTGGCCGCCGAAGCTTCCGCGGACCGTCAAGCCGGAGAGCAATCCGCGGCAGGACGGGCATCTGCTTCGTCAACCGCCGCTGGTGCAGAACCGCCGGGATCGCAACCGGCGACGGCGGGACACTTTTGTGACGTCGTCAAGCGGAAATCGAGGGACGATTTTATTTTACGTGAAGATAAACGCACTGGGGGCTTTATGCAACACGACGGGACCGACTGCGGCAGAGACGACGCCGTCTGCTGCGACTGGTCGGTGGCGCGGCACTGGCCTATCGCAGCAGACAACATTGTCCCAGTCCCTCGGTTCTGCTTGGTCCTGCCGTGCGACATGGGGCCCCAGTTGGAGATGCGTTTCAGGCACCGTAATAATATCAGCAGACTCTGGTCCAGAAAAATCCCTAGAGGGACCAAAAAAATGTTTGAACTAATAAAAAACGGTGTATTAAAATCCTTGACTGCTTCAGACGAGCCTAGCTCATCCACCTAGAGCCGTATCCAAAACCGGCTAGGACGAGTGTAGCTCGGTTCGCGTGACCTGCCTCGCCCTTCGGGTCTTTTGGACGACCCAGGCTCGCATGAAGCTTGGGTTGCGGCACTGCTCGGAGATGGCAGCACATGTTTTTATTGTAAGAATTTTTAAAGATGGAAACCGATTGTGGAAACACACGCGGCCCAGGTTGCATGTGCATAAAAAAAAAGAGAACAATTTAGAATCCAAAACTGAAAAGGAAAAAAAGACCCATAATTTGGCTGTTAAAGCCCGACGACCAGTTCGCGCTTTACACTTTTCTCTTGCTTCCTCCTCTGCCCCCCTTCTACCCTGCCTACCGTTGCCGGTTTCCTCCTCCCCCATGGTGAGGAGGATCTTCTGCCTTGCAGAATCTCAAGTCTGGTCGTCGGCCTTTAAAGAAAGTGAAAAGGCAAGCAGGTCGACCAAAACGCATCTCTTTGCACATGAGGGCGGAGGTGAAGAAAATGTTGGGAGCCAGACAAGAGGTGCAGAAAGATGAGAGGGAGTGATCCCCCTCACATTTTCATGCCTCCTCTCCGATGCGCACTAGATGCTATTCTCTCCGAAGGGTGGCAAACATTTTGGCCACGAGTTCTTTGTTCGTCGTGGCACGTCTGGTAATAGTTAGTCGAAAAAAAAAACAATGCAACCCTCATGCTAGTATATCGTCAACCTTTCTCAAAGGCTATCTCCTCGTTCGTAAAGTGCCATTCACACAAAGGAGAAATCTGCAGAGGGAGGCGCATGACATCAGCAGCGGGTGCAATTGCCTTCTGAGCCTCGTCGTTCGTTAGTCGCCAAACTTGGCAGTTTCCACTTTCGATGCCACTCTAGACCAATCTAGAGGCTTTTAGTCTCGACACGAAAGCTTTCAACGTACAAATACAGTTCAAAGCAAACTGATCTGCCACCAGACATAAATTGCTTGTACCACTAAGGCATGGGTTCTCAAAAGAAACTCCACAGACCTGCTGGGGTCCATAAAGCCCTCGCCTAAATACCCAAACCCCTTCTTTCCCCCTCTTGAAAAATAAAATGTTTTTTGTTAACCCTGACTAGGCGGCACAAGCTACCGTCCGTTATAAAAGGTACAGCCATTACCATTGATTTATTATTTTACTTGATGCTACTCACTTCACATGTCCAGAACTGTAAAAGATGCCCTTGCCACACTGCAAAAACATTGTCTTATTTTATACCCTTTGCCCCTCCCTTCTTTTTTCCCTGCTGGCATGGTGTCCCCATCATTCTGGCGGGTCCCTAACACATCCATGCATGAGAACCACTGTGCTAGAGAATGGGTTCTCAAACTGGGTTTCCCAGAGTAGCCTCAAGGGTTCCCCATGTTCCTAAACTTCCTTAGCCAGGCCTGCCCCACTGTCTTCTTGAAATAAGCACTATCTTAGAAAATCTGAGCCATCCATTTGATGGGTAGCTATTAACCAAACACACTCTAGCATATGCATTATTGTTTACAAGGTCTGAGGACTTCTGCACTGCTTTACTGGAACAATGCTGAAACGACCAGGGGTTCGTTCCTCAAGATCAAAACATTTGAGAACCCCTTCGCTAGAGCATCCCTCCAATTCAGAACTGACACCACAGCGCCACATCACAAAAGTTTGATGCTTTTGTCGTGGAGAAGTCCGTCGGATTTCTCCCTCGTGCAAACACCGCTCAAAGAAACCGGCGAATATTCTAAAGCCCCGAAAAAGGCAAGGAAGCCATTGCTGTGACTAGCAGACAACGTCTAGCCTTGCCACCGCAACTTCTGTGCAAGGAATAGACAAACTTCCTTGCCGTATGCTAAGGCAGAGTTTGGCTCAAGACTATCTTGAACTAAAGTAAGCATAGGCCTACCCTTACCTTTGTGCCAAATAAAGGCAGGTAGCCCTTACTATGGAGGCCTGGTGCATAACAGCACACAAAAACAAGGCCGGAGAAAGTGCACAAATGTGACACGCCAACCCTGAAGGAACATCATTATTAGAAAGGATCAAAGCTAAGTATGTAGAGACCTACACACCAATCAAGTAAATTGTTATATCTAGTGCTGTGTTCTTGTTTTGTTGTTCATTATTAATGTATTGTAACTTCTGTTTTCCACTCCTGGAATGGCCTCAATTGAGGTCGCAATATGTACAAATAAACAATAATAATAAAAAAGACGAAACATTTAACAAACACTCACCTGCTTTTGATTTTCTCGACTTCTCTTGCCTCCTCTTCGTGAAACTTCTGGATGAACGAAAGGAGCTCTACTTCACTGAAATTGAGGTACTGTGCAACCTGCACACAAAAAAGAAAAAGAAAGAAGATAAATTTTCAGTTTACATTTATTTCTAATTTCAAAATGATGCTATGTCTAGCTTAAAAGACATCAAACTGGGAGCTTGTGTCTGTCAGAAAATGACATTGTTGAGGTCGGGGAAATAAAAAAAAGACTGAAAAGTAAAAGCCCTTTTGTCCGCTGCCACCGTTAGGCACCAACGACTTAAAGACCGACGACCAGTTCACGCTTTCCACTTTTCCCCACTTCCTCCTCTCTCCCCTTCTACCTTGTCCACCACTGCCTGTTTCCTTTCTTTCTATTGTGAGGAGGATCTTCTGCCTTGCAGAATCTCGGGACTGGTCGTCGGCCTTTAAAGTGAAGACTAAAATAAATTAATGGGATCGTAGGATCCCGTGGGATTTCCTAAGAATGGGCAATGGGAACAAACAAAAATCAGGACCACAGCCAACAGAACTGCCCTGGGGAAACCAACAAGAGAGGACCCCACAAGGCCCAACACCAGCCCAACCCCATGAGGGGGCACAAGAGGGCGACACTTGGGGATTGACGATGGTCGCAGGGCAACAGGTGAGCCAAGCAACCACCGCCGCAGTAATATTTGATTTTAATCCCCCTCCCCAGAAAGAACCCCACTGGGGCCGGCCTCCCTCCAGTAAAGGGGATATCAGAAAAGATCAGTAAAAAGACGAATACGGATCAAAGAGCAGTGGTTGCCAAGCAACAGTTACGGTTGGAAATCAATTTCCTTTCAAGCAGCTGTTCGCCAACCGATTTTTCGGCCCAGCTGTCGAGCGGCCGAGTCGATCAGCATTGCATCAGATGTGATGTTTCAAGTTTGTTTACGTCCAGCATTCCGGAATATATTGTTCTGCTGAAGATGACACCAATGTGTATGCGGTAGCTGCCACAGAGTTCTCTGGTCAGATTGCAGCTACTGAAGCATACCCATTTCTTTTAACAAACAGCAACCTGATTGGAAGATCTCCCGGAAATAACCAGGGAGCAAATCAGTGCTACAATCAGACTGACAGGTACACTGCGCAACATTGTTAGCTCAAACACGACATCAGTGATTCTTTAAATTTTCCTTCAAAAGGGTACGTCAGGAAAAAAATTTTACATCTTCGGCTAGTGCACTAGGTGAGCACATTCCACAACCATGACACTTTTGATGACGGCCCTTAGGTTTTAAAAGAAAAACAGAAAAAATCGGCGATCGTTCGTTCACAGGTGCCGTGCAGTGTACATTTTGTGCCACACAAGCTCGAGTGAGAGTATGTCAGTGTAGCTAGCGACTGTACTTTCATTCTACGGTTCCAGAAGACCCAGGCCAATACCGCAAGTTTTCGTTTTATATTGCAAGAGAGAGTGCCAGCGAAAGCAACAAGTGTACCATCAACGAAAATGTAAAAGCAGAGAAATGTAAACGTGTACTGAAGTAAGTGACGGAGCGCTTACAAAAGGGGACTCGTCGATCGCATGCCAAGGTGTGAACGCGGGTGATTACTAGTCGTTGCATGTCGCCAACCAGTGGCATGACTGCCGTGAGTCGCAAGTGTGAGTGCTGTGGTGACGACGGCAACGTCCCTGCTGTTAAGCCAGTCCTTCCTACGGACCCGCCGACGCCAGGACACATGGATCGCGTTCCTCAAGTTCCACCTGATGTCGCCAAAAAATGACTGACTCCTTCATTGGAGCTCCGCTTTACAACAATGCTCTTTCAAAGTGAAATATCAAAAGGGCAAACTGCATTCCGACACGGATGGCTCGAGGAGACGCTCGTAAAGTGTTGGGAAGAGCAAGTAACGAGCCCACTTTGCAATGTACGCTTTTCTCTTAGGACTCGATGCGGAATGTATAAAATTTTGCTTGGTGCGTTTAGTCATTCTTGTACGAGTACCAAGCAGCAATAACGTTTCACTTTCAATGTTATGCTAATGGGATCGAGATAGTTGTTTGCCTGGTGGGTGCTCATTGGGTTTTGCTAGGCTCTCACATTCTGCGTCATTTTGGGCAGACGATCACCCTCAAAGATTTTTCGCAAAGGTCCCCGGGACCCTGAAGCGAAAGCAATCCGGTGCACAGCCCTCGAGCCACGCCGAAAACAGCAGCTGTGAATGGGATTACCCTATACCCCCTCATCAGCTCTTCAGCAGTCCCTCGTCAGAGTGGCTGCTGAATCCTTTCATTTGCAACCCACTTCCTGGCGGCCAAGAGATTGTTGCGACCGGCAATACGTTGGCGACATCCCTGTCATTAGGCCACACCTTCCTACGGACCCACCACTATGAACCGCATTCCTTAAGTTTGACCTATATGGTCCGAATAAAAATCATCTTAGTTTGCGACCTGGGATTGCCAGCACAGGTGCGAGCTCTCCTCGAGAAACAGCGCGCTCCGAATGAGTCAGAGGCTACGAAGTGTGGATCAGAACCACAAAGTCACATCTGGCCTCCTTCCTTAAAATCGGATCACAAGCACGGCGGGTTCTGGTCTGGTTGACTGATGACGTATCCTTGAGCCGTGGAAGACTACATGCGCTGACGCATCCAGAAACGGGTTCAACTTCACTGTGCGAGTCATTCTACTACTCCAAGTCAACAACAGCCAGGCTCGTGTACGACAGACTGTGACTCAGCTTTGTCGGCTGGGTGTGCTGTGTATGCAAAGGCAAGAGTGACGTTAGCAGCAGGCATCAGCTGCCAACTACGACTCGTGAAGTCCCTATAAGGGACTGAGTAAGATTGACCCTTTCAGAAGAGGAGAGTGCTGCTCTGATGTTTGCTCTCTCAACCAACTGACTTGAACATGTCATACTGAAGGTTTTTGGTATACACCTACCGTAAATGTAAATAAACCAGTATACTCTTGCGGCAGAAGATGTTCTGACACCACTCGCGGCACGCTACCTGGTTTGAGTACGTGACTACACAACAATGGCCCTTAAAACAGCACCTACTGCACATGAAAGTATGTCTTTTCTTCGGGTGGATAGGAAATTGGTGTGCGCCCACCTCATGGGGTATCTCGTTGGTGTTCTCCCTGTTCATGATGAAAAGCTTGGCGACGTCCTCATCCGGACCCAGCATGACACGAGCGAGCAGCGGAAACTCGTCATCCTGCATTAGCCTCCTCTCTGGAAAGACCAATACACGGTGTTGATGCTAGCTCATCTGTTAAAAAGACTGTATAACTACTGAGAGCAACAGTCGATTAACGACTGTAGTTTGGTTTCGGAATAGTCGATTTATGCACAACTGCCTGTGTAGGGCAACCCAGCCATGCAAGCTGTGAAAAAGCATGATCAGCAAAAACGGGAGATCATGTGTTTCTGGGAAAACCGTCTCCTGATGGCCACATGGTAAGGTAGCAAAAATGCCAGACACATAGGGATAAAAAAGAAAAGTGAAACTTGAAATCCTCCTTCTCTAATCGTTAAACACAGAAGAAGTTGAGTCGAAGCTGGTGGTTGCAATGACAAATACAAAAAAAAAAAAATACAAAAAACTGTCATGTAGCATAACTTACGTCAAACCTGCCCAAACCGAAATTCTTAGTCGATTCAGTTAGGCACCATGATGGCCAAATTTAAGAATGTTACACAGGCAGATCTTTTTTGCAAGCTGCGCATCTGAAGAAAGGTTGTCACATGGAAGAGTTTCAGGTGACGCCTTATTAAAGAACCACTGAAAATATGTTTTTTTTTTTTTAAATTTTGGGAGGGACAGGAGTGTAAAAAAATAATTTTTATGTGAAAAACAAAAAAAATCTGTTCGAAAAATATTGACGGCGCGAGAGGCAATTTAGTTGGTAGTCGCTTCATTTTGCCTTGTTTTCTCTCTATGCATTTCGGGCATGTGGAGGAGAGAAGCTGTGGCCATCACGTTGAGGTGGAGGGAGTATGACCATCTCGTTGAGGTGGAATGCGTGTATGACCATTCCGCGACCATCATGGACTTTGCAAGCGTAATTCAGATGCAACTAAAATAAATCTCGCGCCATCAATATTGCTCTAAAAAAATTTCTTGTGCGTAGAATTCATTTTTTGACATGTGTGTCCCAGACAGACTGTTTAAAAAGAACATTTTTCTTTCTTTACAGCGGCCCTTTAAAGCAAAGTGATGCACACACCTCCATTGTCGCGCACCACGTAGAGGGCGAAGTCCTGGGGAGAGTTCTCCACCTTGAATTTGTCAAGCAGCTGGTTGATCACCTCGGGAGCATTCACCAGGCTAGTCACCCAGACGCTTGTCACACTGGCGTAAGCTGGCGTGAACACGCTAGTCTGTTGGGGAGGCAAATACGAGGACAACAATTGATCAGGGCTAGAAGGACCTTGCATATGCTTGATTTTCACAGGTGCTCAAGTTTGCGTGTCATTGGGGATTTTGCTCTATTAATTAAAGCTATAACGAGCTTCCGAATGACAGAAAGGATCAACAGTGCAGCACTCAGCACAGCACTTCAGAGGTTCTTAAAAAGACACAGACAGCTTTTAATAGCTTAGAAAAGCATACTTGAAGGGCTTCCAACAACATAGTTATGAATGTCTCAATTTTTTAGCGAAATGTGACTAAAATAAGTCCTCTCAAAAACATAATTTTACAGCTGAAGATCAAGATTTCTAATTAAGAAAACAACAAATCGAGAACCGGACCGTTTTAGGCTACCCTCTCTCCCTCTTTCTCAATCCAGCCCAATGACGACAAAGAACTCGGAATATTTAAGAATATAACCAGGGGTCTTTAATGTGCATCATGCTGCAACGATAACCCAACAGACACCAACACATTTATCCAAACAGGTAAGGCATCGAATCCGGCCTCCACTCCATGTGTTCCAAACTGTGATGTCCAAACAACTCGGAAAACGGGACCCCACTCAGGCACCGGAACCCTCCCTTTGAACTTCGATTAAAGCCGTGCACACGCGCTCTTTCCTTCCCAAGTGTCTTAGAAAGTACACCACAAATAGTTATTTTTGGCATCAAAAAGTGAAACTTCGTTTCAAAGTATCAGGGGAAACAAAGTATCATCAAAGTAATCAAAGGACTAAAGTTTACCGCTACGCCACAGCCTGGTGTGGTTCCATACGGACAAAACGTTAGAAGAGACGACAGCTCACCTCTCTGTTGTAGAAATGTCCATTGATTGAGCAGCGTCGCCGTAGCTTCACCCTGGAAGAGCGATTCTTGCTGCGGAGGGTCACGCTCTCAAAGCCATTGGCTTCCTCAGGGAACGAAGGTGGAGGCAGGTCAGCCTCCGCAAGGAGCTCCTGGAGGCAGCGCTTGCCAGGGTTGGGAAGGGTGCTGTAGCTCCGGCCAATCTCTGCCGCGTCCCCGTTCTTCGGATTGCCGCCTTCTTCCTCATCCATCGCTTCTGGCTCCCCTTGGGGACTGCTGTCGGCGCTTCGCGCAGTCGCGTCTTCGTGTCCATTTTCCTTAGGGGGACTGCTAGGTGTGTGCCCATTGCAGATGTTGCCGTCCGAGTTCTGCAAATGAGAACCTCCTGTGATTCTTGTCGGCAGTTAAACTTTGAGAACAAGTGTTTTCCAGTATGGAAAAATGGGCAATGCTACGGCAAGAACTGCGACCGTAACTTATTTATGGCCCTCTGGGTGGCCACCTTGACAGCAAATGCTGACGAAGCAGGGGGGGGGGGGGGGGGGGGATGATTGATGTTTAGTGTACGGCTTAGAGGGATGCCTTGCTTTAAAAATGCTTCTTGTTCATTGAAGGCGTTTTAAAAAGACGAGCGCTCTATTCTCCCATAGACACCAAAATTAAAAACTGTGAATAAGACCTACAGAACTAAGAATTTAACTCGCACCATATAAAGATTATGAACATATCTTGCTATTTTTTTGTTCCTTCTCAAAGTTTGTAATAGAAGACGTTACACCAAAAGTATAAAACACATTTTAACATGTGAAAAGCGTGTGTGATGAAACAAGTGTGAATAAAACCACATTTAAAAGTGGAATAAAATCTGAAGGCTGCCGCAATCGCAACATACGTGCCTACGCAGCTGCAAGCATGGGCCAGAAGGCGAGCCAGCTACAGTTTAACAGGATGCACAGTCAGTCTGGGTCCACAGCAAAACAGCCATGCAATCTTTATAAGTTGTATAAAGGGGAAGGCTGTTGCAATCGTACCACACGGTCAAAGTGCCGAAGCTATACAAGGAGAATAAGAAACAAGACGACAGCAGGGCGCGCGCAGCTAGCATTTATTGAAAAACCCATCTCTCATATACTCGTGGTAAAATACATGGCAACTGACTATGTATTTTTATACGAGCCCTTGAACGTGATAACGAACCAACTAGCTTAAATCGTCATTTTAAAGCATATGCACAGCTGCAGCAATCGGTCGCCACGGATACTACTTACTATGTAGCAGAATATACAATGTCAATGTCATTCTAAAGCAGGACCACAACATCAGCAACGAAACCTTAATGATAAAGTCAATGCGACAAAAAGAAAGTCAATTTGACACCAGACATATCCAGCAAAGCAAATGAGTTGGCCAACTGAGCCATGGGCACGCCTTGAAAAAGAAAAATATGTGCTACGTTGAAATAATTTGGCAATTTGTGCTGCAATAGGGCACCGCTGGGGAAGCCCGCCCACCTCTCTGTCTCTCAAGTTCACGGAGAGGCGGCTGAGGCGCAGCGAGCTCCTCCTCCTCCTGACGGGGATGCGGTCGTCGTGCTCCTCTTTCAGCCGTATCATCCTGTTCACTCCCCAGTAGATCCTGATGGAGCCCTCCAGGATAAGTCGGCCATTCCTCTGCGCAAGACAAACGACGTCGAGCAATCAACGGTTGTTTTAAAGCACGAACAGAGCGGCCTCTCAGAAAGTGTGCACTTCTGCGGCAGCTCAAATGTTAGACACAACTTCCTAATATCCCGTATGCCAAGGCCCAAGGATCAAATTCAAGTCTGTTGATTTCAATAACTGTAAAATTTTAGGTTTTTGTACAGAAAAGCGAACAGGTCTCTCTAGTAATTAGAGACGTTAAAATGCTTTCATCCATTGCGCAGGTTCCCTCTGTATGCTTTTACGAGCTTGCTGAAAGCCGTAAGTTATTTGCATTTAACGGAGGACACTACCCAAAAAGGTAAACTTTTGAACCTTTGGATTAATATGAGTGACATTTAGAGCATATACTGGCACTTGCGAGGAAGAATGCAGCACAAAGTTTCATCTGTGTACATGCACTGTGAAAGAAATTATAGTTGTTTTTATCAGCAACATACTCACATTGTTTAGGAAAACTATCGTTAGAAAACTAATGTAATACTAAAGTGATCAGACATCCCGATTTAGGCGGGACAGGTCCCGCTTTTCCGGCCATGGTCCCGCAGTCCCACGAGCATGCTTATGGTACGGCATACTGTAGTGCTTCGGCTACCCCGAACCCGGGATAGATAAGAGATGCGGTTAAATGAAAGTATCGCACCAGTGAGAAATTGCTTTTCCTGATGAAAGAACAAAATATGCTTGACAGAATAGATGCTGACACTGAAGGTTAATTTGCATCTAACATCTCAACAGTACTGTGAATATAGCATGTACAAAAATAAATACCACACTAAAGAAATATTCCAACTAAATATATTAGATGTGCATGCCAAACAGTATGCAAATCGCAGGAAAAAGAAATGTGCATGGTGTATACAAAATAACAAAAAGGCGTGATTTGTCACCTAAATTTAAACTTTTCAAGTCTCGCAACACAATAATCACACCCCCCACCCCGATACGTGCCCCGCTTTGGGGCCCGAGCAATATGGTAACGTTATGTAATACCCGTTTTTCTTTACCAGAGACACGGCACAATGCCTGGAGAGTGTAACTGGGAAAACAAAATTTCCAGAAAGTAATTTATTTCATGTCAACATTGTGCTGAAAATTCAAATAAATTTTTTGCCTTTTATGTCGTTCACAAAATCTTAACATCTTCTATAAATACAAAGACAAGTTTTAAAAATGATCCAATGGTCCATGGCTGATGCTTCAATATCAGTAGCATATTTTTGTTTTATACCAAGCGTCACCTGCTAATTACTACCTGAGGAAAATATAGTCAATAAACTATTGATCTCGCTGCAACGCGACTGCTTTGTTCAAGATGAATGCTGCACTCTGCTTACATTTCTGCCTCAGCCCGTACATAAGTGTCAGCACGAGACTTCAAACAGTGCGTCAGCCATTCAAAATAAAGAAAAATAAAAAGAAAGGTATGAGCGAACGATACTTTTCCTCAACAGTGAAAACACTTTCAGTTCTAAATTCAACAGTTACCGGCACTGCAGGTTGGGATCGGCATGGAACTGCTGCAGCGTAAACATGCAACATGCACATTTACTTGCCACCTTCGTATGATAACCCGTGCACAGTTTCTGCATTTAATTGACGCTTTCAATTGTTATTTGCACAAGCAACGACAGTGCAATACGTGAAACTAGCCATTAAATTTGTAAAACGGCGCTCCATATTGCCGGAAAGGCATGCATCCCTACGTGCAGCTTGGCCGTTCCTGACAGCCCCTTCGGAGGAGCAGCCGACGTTTCGAGAAAGAGAGTAAGCGTTGTGCGCTGGTCTGAGGAGTCTCTCTGATGGAACGGTCTATACTCCGATAAATCTCAATTTTATGTAAAAAAGTAAACTCCGAAACAGCAACCTAATTTCACAAATGATAAACTCCAAAAATGCAGAACCTTATGCATGACCCATGTCCCTACAAGACAAGACGTGGTACAGAAGATTAAAATGCTCCGTCTCTTCACCTTGTCTGCGCCAATACATTAAAAGAAAAAAAAAAGTTTGTATTAAAGTTTTGACTTGCCAACCAAGTTACTTGTATGGCTATCAAAGATGTCTCAATTCTGTTAGTAGTATGGCGTCTGGACAAGACCAGAAAACTCATTTGAAGCCCCTGCAAACACACAACAAACTTTTCTGTCTTACCAGCCGGCTTTGTACGATTCCACTCTTGCCTTCAAAGAACTGGTTGTATGCCCTCAATTTCCCCTCCAGGTGGCCTCTGGAAGGAAACAACCAAGAAGAAACTTAGAAACAATGCGACAGATGAAACACAAGCCAGGAAGGTTTCAAAATTCTCGCTTTACCTTGGCACTGTGGAGATGTTTTGACGAGGATTTGGATTCTTCCCAAAACTGGTGTGTGCCTCTACTTGCGAACCATGACCAAACAGCGTCGGACCAAACAGAACACTGTAGCATGGTACATGGCAGTACGGAACGCCCTTGTGCTGACACAAAAAAGGACAAAACAACTATCAAGACACAGGATTCCCATCAAGTATTTATTAAGTGGCAAATTTAAGGGGCTTTCAATGACATGCTGAAAAGTTTTCAAAGGCCTGGATTATGGAATTCGTTTACACAACAGCGACAACAACAATTGATTCTTATGAAAATAAATTTCAATGGATTTCAAGGCAGCTTCTGTACCCTCACTTAAAACTCAATATTTTAATTGTTTCTTTGTTTAGTGATAGCATCAATTAAAAAAGTTAAATGTGGTTCAAAGCAAAAGATTTTTTTTTTATGTGCCTTGCAGTGAGGAGCCTTTGTTCATGTGTCCATGCCTTTAAGATAGAAATGTCATACTCAAAAGCTTTTAGTGGTATGGGATGGGGAAACTCAAGACGACACATTAGAAACAGCTATGGGAATATCACTACTGATCCAGGTTGTTTTTTTTTTCTTTTTTTATGTTTTTATTTAAGATGAAAAATTATTCACAGGCTAGGTTTTTCTTTTACATTAACATTTTAATGTTGTCACTACAAGAACCGGGACGCTACATGTATCTAACAATTTTATAAAAAGAAAAGAGAAAAGAGAGGGGGAAAAAAAAAGAAGAAAACACCGGTAGACTGTGTTTTGAACGTGTTTTAGAGTCCTCGCAACCGTGTCGGGGCTGTCCGAACGAACTTTCATTACTTGGATGATAAAGTAGTGTCAAGAAAAAGTTTTCTTACTTCCGCATGCTGGCCTGGATTCAGTCTTTTCCCGCACTCTTCGCAGCGCAGGCACTCGGGATGCCACTCATAACCCATCGATGTTTTCCGCTCAGCTGGAACGCCAACAATAAGTCAAACGGATATGCCAAGAGCTGTCTCCCACAGATCAACTGCTGCCTCGAACATTGGACCGACGACACCCAAGCGAGTAAGTGGTCAGTAGAAGAACACAAAGTTTGTGGACGCACATTGGCCAGATCCAAGTCGAGACGGTACCTCATCTTTTATCTCGCGTTTCTCCTTACAAAGAGAGGCATTCGTACGAACAATACGGCCGTGTTTGTTTGTTTCCGAATGAGTCATACCGCAAATCGAATGATCGGTCTTTGCCGTTTTAATGTATGAAGCTCAAATGAGTACGCGAAGCACACAAGTTTGCCGAAAGTCGGTAACGGCAATACTGCGTGTTTCAGAAGGACGAGCAGCGAGGAATTTACAATGGAGCGCCGAAACGACGTGCTCATATTTGGCCGGAGAACGAAAGATTCGTTGCGAGCACGAAACGAAATCGAACGACTTACCGAAATAAACTGGCTTCCCGCATTTTCGGCACGTCCACATCTTTGCAAACTCTGCCCGGGCTCGCTGGCATCCGCTGGAAACACAAAAATTAGCCTACCCCACGGTGACCAACTCGAATTCGCATGACTGTTTGGGAGTCGGGGAGCACGTCCAGAGTTTGACAAAGCCCGTCCACAAGAAACCCCAACTCGCGCGGGCGTTGGACAGCCAATACGAGAATGAGTTGATATCGCGCTAAAATTGTTTCCGATATCCCCAAGGAACGCTTTAGGTGCTATAAATTAGTTTTAATCACAGAGAAAACGCCTCACGGGTTTGCAAATTGCGAGATTCCACGCGAACTCTTTCTTTGAAAGGCACCCAAGTTTAGTATCCCTGCGCGGACGCACGCACGCACGCACGTTCATCTCATCCTGCATGCGGGCGCTTGAGAGGAGTCTGGCTGTCTTGTTTGTTCGTCCTTCCTCCCACGCTCGGCCCACTGTGGCTCGGCCTTCGACATTGGCCCCCAGGCCGCCCACGCTACCGAGGGCAGAGGCTCACAATCGCGTTGTCTCGAGCCATACACAGGGGCAAGCGAGGCTACTTTCTCGACCCCTGGGATAACTGCAATCTAAAGTTTTGTTAGAAAACTCCACAGATTCATTTTAGATCGCTGTCGGATAAACTCTGCCCAAGTGTCAGGAGCTCGCAGCTAGTTTTGGCCCGCATTGTTGTAACTACTGGGATCGTCATCTCGTCCGAGAGATCGGTTGAGGATGAATTTCTTGGCCGACAAATATATATTCCTAAAATGTTGGTGTATTTTGGTTAGCAGGTTTTACACAAACAAAAGAAATACGAAGGAAAAAAACAGAAAACCATTTCTTTCGTTTAGTATAATCCATTCTTGAGTTTAAAAGCCAAGAAGTGGACATGGCGGACACACAGCGACAGACTTTGACTTAATTGATTGATGTAATCTTTACTACACTTTTTGGCGGATCCCAGAGTAAACTCTGGGATCCGCCAGAAAACTCCATTTGGAGAACCGTTGAATAGAAGATAGAAAAGAATATGCCCCAAGCCGTCTTCGGGGGGAAATCGAAGGAAACGGCCTAAAACTCATTTTCGGATTACGTTCGTCCGAACGGTGTAAAATAGGATAATTCGCAAAAAGCATGAAGCTTCTCAAAAAGCAGTGTGTGAAGTTTTGAAAGGAGATTTATGACCCTTGCAAGAAAAACCGTGACAATGAAATAGCAAAGTATGTGTAAAAAACATACGCCCAACGTGGGGCTCGAACCCACGACCCTGAGATTAAGAGTCTCATGCTCTACCGACTGAGCTAGCCGGGCGATCGAAAGAACTCGCTTTTAACAGCATTCATAACCATAGGCTCTCAAAATTTGAGCTTTTTTTTTTTTTTTTTCTTTTTAACTTTGAAAACGAGGGTTTCAAAGGAGTGCTACATCGGTGGAACACCGCGAGTTTTCATTATCTGGAGAGAGGACGTCGCTTCCTCTCTCCAGCCTTCGCGCTGCTAAAGTGGAAGGAGGGGGGGGGGGGGGGGGGGAAGACTCAATGGGGTAGCAAAGTATTTGGGGGTTGAGAAGCAGGAAACAGACGGAACGCTGGAGGGGAGAGGGTGAAACCTCCTCTCTCCAGTTTCTGCGTGCTCCCCGGCCTTCCTTTCCCTCTCCACAACTCTCCGGCTACCGCCGGATGGATGGATGGATGAATACGGCTGAGCCCTTTGGATCGGGCGGTAGCTTACGCCACCTAGCCGTTTAGTTTTACCATTTAAGCTTAGAATATTTAAATGTGAAATCTATATTCACTCCGCAGTGCAAAGAAAGTGAGGCTATGAAAGCCCCTTTGGCATCGGTGAATAAGCAAATACCTAGTTTTCTCTCGATTTCTGCCACCATTCACTTAATCTTTGCTTGGTAATCTCTACAGTCTTGAAATCCACTCTCCCTTCGCTGTCTCGAAAACCCAATGACTTTATTAAATCTATGTTGTCTTCGGTAGGCATAGGGTGAAGCCCTTTACAGTAGAGTATCAAGTGCTCAGCCGTCTCGTCCTCCTCTCCACAAGCAGTGCACACTGCATCCATTTCCTGGTACTTCACTCTGTATGTTCTGGTTCGCAGAACACCCGTCCTCGCCTCAAACAACAATGAGCTTCCCCTAGAATTGTCATAAATGCTTTCTTTGGCAATAACTGTTTTGTTTAATCTATAGCTTTCCAGAGCCGTCTTTGTCTGCATTCCCTCTAGCCACCGATCTCTTTCTGTGGCGTTAACTTTCTTCTTAACTGAGACTTGCTCTTCCGTATCTTCGCTATAGCCCAAAAACTTTCCTCTTAATTTCCTAGTGCGCTGTCTCCACTTTGTGTCTACACTCCTCATGTATAAATAGCTGAAAACCTTTCGTGCCCATCGCTCCCCATCCATTTGCCTCAACCTATCCTCAAATTCTATCTTGCTCACCGCTTCCCTGCTCTCAAATGACGCCCATCCCATGTCTCCTTGTACTCCCTGGTTTGGCGTTTTGCAATGTGCCCCAAAGCCAGTCTACTTACTCCGCGCTGTTTTATTTCTAGTCTCGCAAGCACTTCGGATTTCATGCATAGCACTGCGTTTCCAAAAGTCAAGCCAGGCACCCATGACCCCTTTCCAAATCTCTCTCACCACCTCATACCTGTTGTAATTCCAAAGTGCTCTATTCTTCATTACAGCTGCATTTCTGTTGCCCTTACCTATTATATACTTTTCATGCTCTCTGAGATATTCTGCACCATCACATATCCATACTCCTAGATACTTGTATTTACTAGCTCTCTCAACTGTAATATTCTGTATCTTCAGCCTCTCAACTTCGTCCTCGTTAAAAATCATGACTGCTGATTTTTCGCTACTGAATTCTAAACCTAATTCCTCTCCTTCCCTACCACAGATGCTCATTAATTCCTGCAACTCTGTCCTGTTGTTAGCCATTAGTACGATATCATCCGCATACATCAATCCCGGTAAGGATTGCTGAATTTTTTGGCCTAGCTTACTGTAAAAAAGGTCGAATCCAAGCCCACTCAGATACAGCATAAACAGCAAAGGCGATAACGGGCACCCCTGCCTAAGGCCTCGTCTTATCTCTATTTTCCCTGTCGCCTTTCCTTCCCATGTTATAATCACCTTGTTATCTTTGTAAATGTTCCTTAATAGTGCTGTTAGTCCTTCATCTAGGTTTAAGCTCTCCATTATGTCCCACAGGTTCCTTTGGTTCACATTGTCATAGGCACCCTTGATATCCAGAAATGCCAGCAAGAGCTGTCAGTTTTCTTTTTGCGCTATTTCTATACACTGTGTTAGAGAAAATAAATTGTCCTCCAACCTTCTTTGTTTCCGAAACCCGTTCTGTAACTCTCCCAGTATGCCCTCGCAATCTAGCCATTCCTCCAGTCTGTTCTTTGTAATCTGCATTACCAACCTGTAAATAACCGGTGTCACGGTTATTGGACGATAATTCCTAATATCAGACTTATCTCCCTTTCCCTTATATATCATACTCATCTTACTAAGCCTCCATTCATCTGGAATATTTCCTTTTGTTATCATGGTACTCACTACCTCCCTTAGTTTTGCCTTAGATTTAGGACCCAAATTCTTCACCAGCTTGATAGGGATACCATCTGTGCCTGTCGACGGGACTCTTCGTTCCGCCTTTTCCCATTCTCTTTGTCCAAAATCCGCGATGTCACAAACTGGACTGCTACTTCCTTCGGTTCTCCTATCTTCCACATGAACCCGTTCCCGAAATTTCTCCTCCATCACTGCTCCTATATATTGTATCTCATCATCTCCCTCTAATTGATCTCCCTGATGCGAGAATATGAACCTCTGTCTAGCTTGCGTCGTTTCACCGAGTGAGTTCAAGTGCTCCCAAAACTTCTTGGCAGCGTTTCTATCTTTCTTACTTACATTACTCATCCATTCCTCACCCTTTCTCTGAATTTTCGTATTGATCGAACTGGATGCCTCTCGGCGACATGTTATAAAATTGTCCCATTTTCTTTTTACTTCCGTTTCGGACTCCCCACTACGCTTGGAATACCTGTGTTCTCTAGAGGCTTCCTGACGTTTTTGTATCGCTTGCTTCACTTCTTTGTCCCACCAGCTTTTTGGTCTATGTCCTTGCTCCCCCTTTCGTTTACTCTGAACTTTGTCTAGTTCTAGAGCAAAAAGCCTAGTTAGGATCTCATAGGTCCAATCTGTATACCGTCGCCCTGAAACTGCTGCCTCTATTCTTTCAACCACTATTTCCAACTCTTTGTCGCTGCAGAAAGTTTGCTTTGAATTATGTTGTTTAGTTTCAGAATTTACTTCTCTGGCAAAATTCAGCTTAATACGTTTGTGATCACTACCAAGACTTTTGGAACCTTCTTCATCTATTTTCATTATTTGTAACTTACCATATATTTTGTGTGACATGAGTGCGTAATCTATAGTTGAATGTAGATTGCCAGTTTCCCAAGTAAGGAGTATGGATATGTGATGGTGCCCGTCACACTTCTGACTGGTATTACATAAATCTAAGTCATGTTTTTCCACCAGTTCTAGTAATATGCTTCCAGTTGAGTCCGTATACCCATCCAGACCCTCAATATGGGCATTCATGTCTTCCATAATAATTATTTCGGAGCCTTCCCCTAGTTCACTAATGTCTCTTGATATGCAATCAATCATTTTTCTGTTTTCCTCTTTAGCACCTGTCCCTGTCCATAAGTAAACAACTCCAAGGACTGTTGATTCCCCAGCAACTTTTCCTTTCAGCCACAAATGTTCGGCGCACTCCTTTCTGATCCTTTGAAAGTTCATATTCTTCTTAATAAATGCTCCAATTCCACCTCCCTTCCTCGTTCCCTCCATTCTGTTGAATTCTTCCCACACATAGTCAAGGTTGCAAGGTGGCTGCTCCATGTCTCTGAGATGTGTTTCTTATTAACCCATACACCATCAAATCCTCCTTTCTTGGTTGCTCCTCTACCTCTTCCCATTTTAACCTATTTCTACCACCCTGCATGTTAATATATCCAATGTCTGATTGTGCTGTTTGTATATACCTGTTCTTACGTTTTTTCCTCTTTTTAACCCTGGGTGCCTCTCCTGACTTTGTTGGGTTTTCAGTTACTTCAGTGCCCCAGGGCCCTCGGTCCCGCCATTTAGCGATTCGAGTGACCCCTATTAGCCAGAATTTTCTGCCACCTGCCTGAGCAGTGGAAACCCGTTCAGCGCGACTCCCCACCTGCACTGTGCATTCGGAGTTCGCCAGTTTTTCTTGAAAGTTTTTACTTTATTTTCCTGCTCAGGATGCTTACCCTTTCTCTGTTATCGTCCACTGTGAGAACCAGGGAATACAAGGGCTCGTAGTCTGCTCGGTCTTCGCAGGAAACGAACGAAGAAAGCGAACGTCAAGTAGCCAGCGACGCCGGCCACGTTCGACGTTCTTCGAGAATTATTTCTGTTGAGATAATCTCCGAAAAGCCTTCCCGGCTATGCTCCGGGTCTTCGCGAGAAATGGTTGATAGGGTTGGGTTCGAGGTGTGGGGACGGAATACACACGTTCGTTCATTGGCTTTGGTGCTGTACAAAAAAGCAGCTCTCCTCAACACGTGCCCTAAAACAAGCTGGGCTCCGTACGTTCGTCGTGAAGTGACTATCGTCGAGACTGTATATTGGATATGCTGTGCTATTTGAGACCTTTCTCAAATCCTGTTCAGATAACGCGACACCGTGGGGTACGTACAATATATGTCGTTCGGTTCATGAGACTTATTGAATTTCATGATGTGAGAGGGGAATACCCATGCAATTCGGCAGAGGAACCTCATT